GTTTTGAATAGCCATCCAGTCAAAACTTCTTCATATAGTAGTAAAGCCCTCTTCAAAGTTTTACCTGGCCCTGAATCCTAGCTTGTCCATAAATGACAAAAGAAATGTTGTACGTATTTTAATTGCCATTTCCATTAAACACATTTGAGAATTTACAAGGTACTTGTAGAAAATAGATATTTTGGGGATAACTTCCTATAAGAAATAATGCCAAAATGAATGAGAAAGGGGGAAGCCCTCAAACTTCAATTGGTTTAAAAGGATTACTTTACATATTGTAGTTTAGCTCACTTTCACATGTTCTTTATTTGAGGTGTTGTCCCAGATCCTATTGACATCATTTTAAATAACTTCAAGAAGTATAGAAGGGATCCTTCTCCATGCATTTATTTTCATACTATAATAATAAAGTTAACTTCTAATTTATGCATCTACAGTAGCATCAGTCTTGGACTGGAACATTTTGCATGGCACATTGGATTATTTGGGGCCCGTTTCCATCATTTAGCTCAATTTATCCCACAAAGTGCTCTCCCAATGATGTTCAAAAGGAAATTGGACTTCCTTGTTTTTTTTCCCTTGTAACCGTTTCACTTCTCATCCAAGGAGTTTCTTCAGTTCTGGCTGAATGATAGGGAATGGAAGGATTTATATTCTTTGCAATCATATGGTTGTTAGCACTCTGAAGGTCAGTGGTTAGCTCTCTGAGAGTAGTTGAGGCCACTTGGAAGCTTATCTGCATCTTCAGGGTCACCTGAATCAGAGTGCAAATGAGTGTGGAACCTTCTTGATACTGCTGAAAGATCTGTGTAATAACTAGGGGATAGGTGGTATCCTATTCCTCCCCCTCTGATGGAGAGGGTTGTTCAATTTTAATATTGATAGCCTGTTTGAACCTTCTTTCAAAGTAGCAGCCCTGTCTATCCAGCATGTGGAGTTTGCTGTCTTCAAAAGAGTGACCTTTGTGTTTCAGATACAGATAAGACTACTGAATCTTGTCCTGATGGGTTTGTTCTCCTATGTTGTTCCATGTATTTGTGAAGTGATTGTTTTGTTTCCCCAGCATACATTGCATTGCACCACATATACCAAATTGCTCTGTTTATGCCTGGGTGTTTTATCTTTGGGATGGACAAGCTTCTGCCTTAATGTATTCTTGGGTTTAAAGTGTATACATTTGTTGTGTTGGTTGAAAATCCTCCTGAGCTTTTCAGATAGTCCTGCAACTTAAAACTACACCGCCTTCGGTCTGACCTAAGCGTAGTACATAAAATTATCTGCTACAATGTCCTACCTGTCAATGACTACTACAGCTTCAACCACAACAATACACAAGCAAACAATAGATACAAACTTAAGGTAAACCGCTCCAAACTCGATTGCAGAAAATATGAATTCAGCAACAGAGTAGTCAATGCCTGGAATGCACTACCTGACTCTGTGGTTTCTTCCCCAAACCCCCACAACTTTAACCTTAGACTGTCTACTGTTGACCTCACCCCATTCCTAAGAGGTTTCTAAGGGGTGTGCATAAGTGCACCAACGTGCCTATCATCCCTGTCCTAATGTGCCCATTTATTTGTATCCATTTCATGTATTCATAATCATGTTTATACTCTTATCTATTATCTTATATATGCGAAAGAAAGAAAGAAAGAAAAGAAAGAAAGAAAGAAAGAAAGAAAGAAAGAAAGAAAGAAAGAAAGAAATGACAATGTTGCTTCGTTTATTATTCTCTTCTTTGTCTGTTATGGAGGAGTTCCTGCTGGATCTTTTCCTGGATTTGATGAAGGTTCAGTTGGGATAGCCACAGGTTCTGAGGGATTCCTTGATATATTTTAGTTCTTTTCCTTTTCCCTCTTTGCTGGTAGGCAGATCTTCAGCCCAGTGGTGCAGGATTCTAATCACTCCGGTTTTGTGCTCCAGTGGATGGTTAGAATCAAAATATAAATACTGATCTATGTGGGTGGGTGTTTCTGAATCCTTCTGTGTTGAAGTTTCTGTCATCCTTAATCTGTACTGCACAGTCCAGGAACATCAGACTGTTTTCTTTAACATCTTCCCGTGTGAACTTAATTTATCTGTCCACAGAGTTGATGTGTTTGGTGAAGGCTTCCACTTCCTGTGTTTTAAACTTGACCCAAGTATCATCCACATTCGTATACCACTGAGTGAGTGGACTTCTTGTGAAGGAGTTTAGGGCTTTGGTTTCTTCCATGTAGAGATTGGCCACAGTGGAGTAAACCCCGTGACAGAACTGTGTTTTTGTCTGTAGAAACTTTAATTGTATTTAAACTAGGAAGTGGTCAGGCAGAGGTCCAGCATTGCACATATGTGGTCTGGACTGATGTTGCTTCTTACAGCTTCAGTTACTGAAATACAGGTGAAGAATGAAGTGACATTGTCAGCGAAGAAATAACTGCTACAGGACAGCACAATTACAGCTGAAACAGAGACTGTAGTCAGTTATTTAAGTAATAATAATACCCTCTAGTGCAGGGATGTCAAACTCATATCATCACAGCGTCGTCACCTGACATATCACAACTTTTTCCCCTTTTGCTAAACTGGGTGTGGGCGTGGCCAGTGCATGACGCATCCAGCCCGTGGCTTGCGGGCCAGGAGTTTGACAGCTCTAGTGTCAACAGCAAGTCTTCTGATGCTATTACATTATGGGAAAACTAATACACACACTATAAGAAACATCAGTATTATTTCAGTAACAGTAACAGAGTTGGAAGGGACCTTGGAGGTCATCTAGTCCAACCCCCTGCTCACGCAAGAGACCTGTACAAGGGATTCGAACCGCCGAACTGCCGACCTTTCTGATCGACAAGCTCAGTGTCTTAGCCACTGAGCCACCTATGTACTATCAAGAATTGGTCTGTAATTTACAATGAATGGTAAACTGTGTCTCTTAAATGTTGTGTGTACAATAGTAGCAACACAAAACTTTCACAGTGTAGTAAAATAATACCATTCTAGGACTACTCTCATTTGTAGTAGCAAACAAGCATTTGGACCTTAGACGATATCCATCTTTACCAGTCACAAAGAACTTGCATTTTCTATTTAGACTACCATACAGATGCCATAACCTTGACATGTCTGGGAATGTCACACACAATTGTGTAGTTCCAGTAACTGTTATCTATAAACAGTCTGGGGGTTATGAAAAGGTTTCTGTTTTCTATGACAGGTAGTGGCCTTTCATACTCAGAAATGCTCGGTCATGCAGTAGGTTTCCTGATTTTAATGAGGTCATTCTTGGTTGTTGGACATTTGTTTGTTTTTTAAAATATAAACTAGTTTTGCAATGTGCATGCCGTGCATGGTAATTACAGAGACACAACTTTAAAAAACTTAAATGGCTGTTTTTGAACAGCTGTCCTTATGATGCTGCGAGTAAGAAAGGGTTTCTGCCAATGTAGAGAACTGAAAGGTTAACAAAATATTGGTAAGTAGTTATAATTGTCACAAGGAGGTCTACTGGGAAAAGGGATAAATTGTTGTGTCTATTTGAATTTACTCCCACATATTTTTAGCCCAACATGTAAAGCTTTTCTTCACTGTTTATCTTTGTACAGAATTCTAAATATCTTTATTCATTAAATATCTGCAAGAGAAAAATTTAAATATATTTAATTTTATTCCTACGAGCTCTACAATGATAGCAAATTATATAAACAGTTATATTTTGTTGGGTTTACCGCTAATGCGTAGTTGTTCTTGAACTTAAAAACAAAACAAAAACAGTAGGAAATATCAGTCTGCTTAAAAGATATGCCACCTGGAAAAAGCCAGGACTGTAGCTAGACTGGGAAATTAGGGAAAAAAATGTACTAGAAGAAGGCAGTATCAAAAACTTGGCTATCGTTTTCAAGAAAATTGCATGAGTATGACCATGTAGGTTGCCATAGTTCAGTTCAATTCAAAGGTGACTTTATTTCATTACCTTTTTTTTTTTTTTTTACTGCTGAGTCAGTTCTTATTCTGAGATCCCTTCTTCAAATATTTACATTTAAATGGTCTGAACTTGTAAATGTTTCTGCTCCCTTGAGCAGGCCAGGGTTTAATTCTGTTGGTACCTATGCTATAAAGCTGAGATCTTGGCTAGGTTCACAAAACATACTAAGGTACTGTTGGAAGAAATGCCCATCTGGGTTCAGTTCCAAGTGGGGAGAAAGACACTGGAAACATGGAGGCTGCTTGGAAAGATGGTTTAATGGTGAAGAAGAACCACCAAGCACCTGTGATTCTGGGTAGCTGAACACATGGAGAGGAGAGAGATTTATACTCTCTCTTGGGCCTTGCCTTTGAGCTTCCTGTTCCTGTGGCAAGGAATGTATTCTATTGGTTGCAGTCAGAGTCCCATGTGGAGTCATATTTGTTTGAATCAAGTTTGGTGGAACCTTGCTGGGTGATGTAATGAAGGGGCTTGGTTGTGCCATGTGATGAGCTCTGCTGATAGATAATCCTATTATGTTTTGGAAGGTGAAGGTCTTTTGTTTTGTGGATAGGCTGTTTTGTGGACAGTCTTTTGTCTTGTAGATAAGCTGGCACCAAAATATCTGCTGGGGGCAGGGAGCTGGGGCTGATTTTCTGTTTCCTTTTAAGATTTTTATTTCTCTTTTAGGGGAAATATTCTGCCTTTTTAATATTTCCTAGAATATTTCATTCTTCTAGGAGAGGGGTGGGTGCTAACTTTCTTCAGTACAGAGTGGCTTGTTTGGATTTTAGTTTTGCTTGCAGATACTATATAAATTAACCATGTATAACCAAACCTTGGCTTATGTATAGATGGGGAATTCTTTCTACAAATCCTGGTCTATCAAGTGTTATGCCCAGTGAAATATACAATATGTTAATGGGAACACTGAATATACCTAGAATAGATAATGTGATAAAAAATATCATGAATGAGTGTAACTAATATTAAGACAAGAAGTGCACCGCTGCCTTGATTTTTTTTATGATAATATTTCTGTTCTTCTTACTAGACATATTTGAAAATTGCTGTGAAGCATATAATATTGGCCTTGAAGGAGCTAAAGTGTTTTCTGGTTCCCGAAATGAACAATTTGGATATTTAGTTCAACAGATTGCAAACCAAGAAGGCAAATGGTAAGCATTACTGTACTTTCTGCACAATAAAAGAGAAGATGAAAGGATCAACTTTGTTATACTGTGTAGGATTCTTTTTTTATTTTTTAAGGAAATGATAATTTGGTTTCTATTTTATTTTTCTCCTTGTTTTTCAAAGAGCTGTAGATAAAATTAGTATATATACATTTACATCTTACTATTTCCTTTTGGAGTAACCAACCTTATGCAAAATATTGAAAAGAAGTAAGTAATCCAAAGAAATTACGGCAGAAGGTTAAAATAAGGAAATAAGGCAACCCTCTAGTTTACAAGGTTACTCCTCAATATACACCTTCCTATTTTTATACCTTTACAAGACGTTCTTGCTTTTACCACATCCATTTAAAGATACATATATTCTTTCTTCTTTAAAATTCTCACTTTTCTATATCTGAGGATCCACCTATGGCTTTTTCAGTCTTTCTCTTCTTCTTGACCGTTTATTTTTCCTTCTGTCTTTGATTTGTGATTCAGTTCTTATTCATTCTTTCTGTACAAATCCTCTCCAAATAGATCTTCCATACTGGTCACTCTCCTTTGTATTGAACCCACACACAGGTAATCCTCGATTTAGGACCACAATTGAGACCAAAGTTTCTGTTGCTAAGCAAGACTGTTGCGAGTTTTGCCCCATGTTACAACCTTTCTTGCCACAGTTGTTAAGTGAATCACTGCGGTTGTTAAGTTAGTAAAATGGCTGTTAAGTGAATCTGGTTCCCCCATTGACTTTGGTTGTCAGAAGGTCGCAAAATGTGATCACATGACCTTGGGACATTGAAACCATCATTAATACATGCCAATTGCTAAGTGTCTGATTTTTGATTATGTGACCATGGGGATGCTACAACGGTCCTAACCATTCATTTAGTGACCATTCAAAGTTACAATGGAACTGAAAAAAGTGACTTAAGATCATAAGTCACTTTTTTCAGTTCCATTGTAACTTTGAATGGTCACTAAATGAATCGTTGTAAGTCGACTCACTACCTATTTGCTGTGAGACAATAGAAAAATGGTAAAGTCGCAACTGTAGATAATATAAGTCTATAAATGTTAAAATGTGGAATGTGGTTCCTTGATGGAGTTGCTTAGTTTGATAAGTATGCCTAAGATACTTAACAAAAGTTGACATTAAGTCAAGTTTGGGAAGGGCAATGTGGCTTTATGCCAGGTACATGTGCCAATCAGATTTGTCCTTTTCAAGAAGTCATATGTAAGAAATAAAGATTGGTGTATCTTTGTTGATTTGCAGGAAACATAATGAGTGATAGGCATGAATTATAGAACTTACATACAAATGTAGAAAAAGGATTGTTGAACAGTATATGGAGGAAATAAAAATATGCATGAGAACAAATAGAATATTTAGTGAATAATTTAACATTGAGCAGGGAATAAGATAAGGATACATGATGTTTTAATATATTCATCCACAAAATGAATATTTTATGAATGAAAAGTATTAGGAACACGTGGTAAAAAAACTACAACAAGCAGATAAATTTTGTTTACCTTGGTAGTTTGTTCACTAAAGATAGGAAAATGGATGGAGAAACTGGTAAGAAGGTTCTGGACAGTCTTCAATCATTAGCAAGAAGTAAAAGAGTGTTAGGAAAAATGGGACAATGCAAACCACCTTATGTTTCTGCCCACTATAATATATGGAAATAAGAGTTGAGTATGACAGAAGAGGGACACGGTGGCTCAATGGCTAAGACACTGAGCTTGTCGATCGAAAGGTTGGCAGTTCAGTGGTTCGAATCCCTAGCGCTGCATAACGGGGTGAGCTCCCGTTACTTGTCCCAGCTTCTGCCAACCTAGCAATTTGAAAGCACGTAACAAATGCAAGTAGAAAAATAGAGACCACCTTTGGTGACAAGGTAACAGCGTTCTGTGCGCCTTTGGCATTTAGTCATGCTGGCCACATAACCACTGATTTGTCTTTGGACGCGCTGGCTCTTCGGCTTTGAAACGGAGATGAGCACCACTCCCTAGAGTCGGGAACAACTAGCACATATGTGCGAGGGGAACCTTTATCTTTACCTATGACAGAAGGAACAAAAAAAAAAAAAACCTCCTTGAATGAAGTGGAAAGAATAAAAATGTGGATTGAACTAAAATATGACCGACTAAATATAAAAGATGTCCCTTCACATGGTTTGGACATATTGAGAGAACACTAAAGAATTGATTGGCTTCAAAACAATCTGTTCCACTGTGAGGAGGGTGGGCAGGCTGGGAAGAGAAAAGATCAATACGTTGGGAACTCAACCCAGGTGAGGGCAAATCTGGGAAAAGAGCTTCAAAGTACTTAAGTAGGAATTAACTCATTAGCAATGAGCCTAAGACATTTCCATGGCAGTTTCCAAGGTTCTGTATTTATGCCAGCAGAGCATGAAATATACTTTTCTAAAATCCATGTATCTTTAGTTATGTAGAACTTGATATGCACTGCTACGCATTTATTGGTACTTGGTGCTGCACCCATATGTATTCTTGAAGAATAGGTCATAGGCTGATTTACACAACCCATTTTGTATTTAGATTTGTTTCCTCCCACAGTCTGTAATCTTTAAACAGTTCTTGATGTCACAGAATTTCAATCCATGGCAAGAACATCCATGAGGAAGACATTCAATAGGCTGACTAATTGTTCCCCACAATAGCTTAGTCACAGTATTGCGCAAAGGAGAGAAACAATTCACAAAACTGCAAAAAGTTGATGTATAAAGTAAGAATGTCTGAAAACTAAATCATACAATGAACGTCTAAGAAAAACTAGACACTAGAACTATGCTATGTTTAGTCTAATGAGCAGAAAGCTTAGAGGAGATGTGATAATCATCTTCCAATGCTTGAAAGGCTGTCACAGAGAAGAGGGGGTCAATTTATTCTCCATAGCACCTGATGGCAGGACAAGAAAAAATGGGTGGAAGTTCATCAGAGGGAGATCCAACCTGGGAATAAGGGAAGAATTTTTCAACAGTGAAAATGATTAATCAATAGAATGATTTGCCTACCCGAGTTGTGGGTGCTCCATTGCTGGACATTTTCAAGAAAAGTTTGGACATACCATTTGTCTGGCATGATATTGTTCTGCCCCAGCTTCGGATTCCCAGAGAATGTGACACATACCAAGCTTTCGCAAACACTGTTTAATTCCAAACAAACCCCTTTCAAGAATGCAGGCTTCCCGTGCAAAGGGTCCTTATCAAAGTTATTAGGAACAAAGTCCGACAAAGGTTGGCAATCAGCCCAGAAAACCAGATATAAGAAGTCGCTCGCTCTCCAAGATGCTCTGTAATAATGAGAAGTTGTTTCTAGCAAGAAAGCACTAGCTGCCTGCGATTTAAATAGGCTAAGGGAGTGGCCAATTATCCTCAAGCCCTACTCTCGAGTAGACCTCCTCCTCCTGAGTAGACACTCCTGCCTTTTGGCAGCCCTGCGTGCCCGAGCATTGAGGAGAGGCTCCTCCACTTCGCTCTCTCCACTCGAAGGAGCCTCTGGAGGTTCTGAAGGCCCTGGCTGAGTCTCTGTCTCTGGCATCACATCCTCTTCAGCCTCCTCGCTGTCCGACGCGAGCGCCGGCTGCGCAGGCTGCTGGCGCGACACCACACCAGCCTCCTCGTTGTCAGGATCAGTCACGATCCGCGCAGGCCACTGGCGGGCCACAACAGGTATAAGAACTCCTGCCTTGGACAGAAGGTTGGATTAAAAGACCCCCCAAGCTCCCTTCTAGCTCTACGATTCTATGTATGTGTATGTCTATATCTCAAATGTTAATAAAAGAAGAGGGAAAGATAAGCAATACACATTTAACAAGAATTAAAATGCCATTAAAAAAAAAAGAGTGGGAAAAGGGATAGGGGGAAGAGCTATTAGGTTTTTAACTCTCCCCCAGAGAGTCTGGCCAGCGAGCAGATATAAAAACATCAACCAAACTATAAAGTAAAGGTAAAGGTTTCCCCGCGCATGCGTGCTAGTCGTTTCTGGCTCTAGGGGGCGGTGCTCATCTCCATTTCTAAGCCGAAGAGCCAGCATTGTCCGAAGACGTCTCCGTGGTCATGTGGCCGGCATGACTAAATGGCAAAGACACATGGAGCACTGTTACCTTCCCACCAAAGGTGGTCCCTATTTTTCTACTTGTACTTTTTACGTGCTTTTGATCTGCTAGGTTGGCAGAAGCTGGGACAAGTAATGGGAGCTCGCTCCGTTACACAGCGCTAGGGATTCAAACCGCTGAACTGCCGACCTTCAGATCGACAAGCTCAGTGCCTTAGCCACTGAGCCACTACATCCCTAAACCAAACTATAGAAATCCATTAAAAAGAAATGGGGCTGAGGTCCTTAAAAAATCACAATATCAACACATCAAAAAACCCCATCCCCCATGCCAGAATTCCATGATCATCCGATTCCCAATACTTTTGGAAAGAGACATATCTTTATGGCCTTCTGGAAAATCAGTAGTGAAGGTTGTCCTTATGTTGGGGTAGAGGCTGTTCCACAAGAAAGACACCATGATGGAGAAGATATGCTTTCTAGGAACAAGTTACAAATGGGGAGTAACTTACTCTATAATTAAATATATTTCTTTGGCAAATGCATGTGACAACCTCCCCCAATACCTCCTCTGTAATATTGGAAATGTCTCAGAATTTGCTCTTAAAATACATCAATGACAAATGTTTTTTTAAAAGAGAAGTTTGATAGAATTTGATATCTACTTCTAGCACATTGCATACTAATTGTAATTTACTCCAAAACAGACTTTATAGAAATGTTCTAGCAGGGGTGTCCACAGGGAGAATATCCGTATGTGTGTGAGACAAATAAAAATTAAATGAGTCTTTGATTGCATCATTGAACTTCTTGAGTTATTTGAACATCAGTTACAGGTACCCCTGCCCTACATACTGCCTTTCTGACTCTTCTAATATAATTGTCATCAGTACTCAAAGTGGCTATTAGTGATAAATGATAGAGATGCAAGCTACCTGTTTGAAGAGCATCATGTAAGGAAAGGCTTCTGGCAGACCCAAAAATGTGATTTGAAAGGCTAGTATCACATTAACAAAATAGCTCTTTTCAGTTTTTCATTTAAATTGAATCTTCTATCAATTATGTCAGGACGTTTAATAAGAGTTTGTCAATTTTTCAGGTTGCTTGTTTCTTCACCCTGGAGTGAAAATAGAATGGGAGATATCTATAAATGTGCTGTTCGTCAACAGGGATCCAAATGTTCCAAGATGGACCTACAGAGTAAGTTCTGTTATTAGTTTGTTGTGATAGGCATTCTTTGGTGGCCACTTTGTAAAATAGCAACCATTTAGTTTCAGCGTCCACGTCTTGATTTCTAATGAGTGATCCAGAATCTGAGAAGGCCAGCTGTTGGTTACAATCCCATTGGTGCTGCACCAAACAACAGTCAGCAGTAGACCAGTTCTGATAAATTTGGGAATAAAACCATTGTGCATTGGATTGGAAAAACCTGCATTTTCTTCCTCCCCACAATCCATGCACAACCTTGGAGAGATCAAAAGCTGGAGGTCTTTTGTTTGGCTTCTCCTTTAGCAAAGGAGATTGTATCCAATGACTGTTTGACCAGATAACAGTAAGCTATGGTGTACCAAATATATTTAAGATGCCATAGCTGGCAAGGGAATTCTGGGATTTGAAGTCCACTCAAGTCCACTCAAGTTGCCAAGATTGAGAAATACCACACTATGTTTGCTCCACAGTTTAACTCATAGACCAGGGGTGTCAAACTCAAGGCCCATGGGCTGGATCCGACACACGGGGTTTTTAAATCTGGCCCACGGGGCCAGCTTGGAAATAGAAAGGACCGGCCCACGGTGCCTCTGGCAGCCAAAATGGGGTACTGGGGGGTGGCCCCTCCCACCCCTATTTTCAGCCTGGACTGCCTCCTGCAGTACTCTGCCGGCCAAAATGTCCATCCCATCTCTCTCCCCCTCCCAGCCGGCTCGCGGAGGAGAACTACAATGCTGATCCGGCCCTCAAAGAAATCCAGTTTGACACCCTTGTAAATAGACCAAATTTCATGTTATACTTTTTAATGTATTGCTCAGATTTACATTCATTTATTTTTTTTAGCTGTTACAAGCATACCAAATGTTAATGAGGTAAAGAAGGACATGAATCTAGGGTTAACTCTCGTAAGAAATCCAAGAACTGGAGGCTTTTTGGTAAGTATAAAGATGTGAGCACTACAAATATAGGTTCTTTCCATCAGTGACAAATTATAGTAGTTTTTGCTTGTCTCTGTGCAGATATTGAGCAGATATCATTCCTGAACAGTAAATCTATTTTCTAAATGGGATACATGACTGAAAATATCAATCTGTTTGATATTATACAGGTAGTCCTCAACGAACGACCATAATTGAGCCCCAAATTTATGTTGTTAAGTGAAAATTTGTTAAGTGAGTTTTGCTCCATTTTGCAACTTTTCTTGCCATGCCTGTTAAGTGAATCATTGCAGTTGTTAAATTAGTAACACGGTTGTTAAGAGAATCTGGTTTCTACATTGACTTTGCTTGTCAGAAGATCATAAAAGGAGATCACACGATCCTGAGACACAGCAATGGTCATAAATAGGAACCAGTTGCCAAGCATCTGAATTTTGATCACACGATTATAGAGATGCTGCAAAGTTTATAACTGAAAAATGGTTGTGAGTCACTTTTTTCAGTGCCATTGTAACTTTGAAGGGTGGCTAAATGAACTGTTGTAAATTGAGGATTACTTGTATTTAAAGTTGCTTTATCTGTATCATATATAATAGGGAATCTTTCCGTGGATCTTTGGAATTGACAATTTCATCTACAATCCCAAATTTCACCCACAAAGCCTAGAAACTACTTGCAATTATTGTCCAGCCAAATATAACTTGATATTTTACTTAAATAATCAATTTTTATTTTGGTCATCAGCCAGCATATAACTAAGAACATCACAGTCACACTAAAATATAAATAAAAATAAAATTCATATTGATGGAATAAAATGAGGTAAAGATAAAATTAAGGATAAATTTCAGATATTAAAACTCAAAACAGTCCTATAAACTTACAATTACATTTTACAATGAGTAATCTAAATGCTATAACTAAGACCTATAGGTACAAAATACATAAGAAATACTAGAATTTATAAAACAGTATGAGAATGTAAGGCTATTTGTTCTGACCCAGCTCCCCAAACATGACAAACCCTCTGAAGTGAACTCTAAATTCCTTTAATTAGGAGTGCCGGCAGCAAAAAGTTTCTCTCTCACTGTAGGCCAGGGATCTCCAATCTTGGTAACTTTAAGACTTGTGGACTTCAACTCCCAGAATTCCTTTGCTGGCTGAAGAATTCTGGGAGTTGAAGTCCACAAGTCTTAAAGTTACCAAGATTGGAGACCCCTGACATAGGCTAACAAGTCCACCCGGAAGATGAATAGTTGTCTGCCACATCTATTCATATACACCCCCTGCCTTTTATCCCCAGAGCTAGGGTAAGACTTCACTAGCAGTAGTGGCACTTCCTTCCCAAGGATCGGCCCATGGATTTCCACTGTTCTTCTCTCCTCTGCCTTTGCGCATTTGCACATCAGGCACTGGATTCAGCTGTTCCTCCTCTTCCTCATCAGCCATCTCCAGATGTGGGGGCTGTTGACTCTCCATCTGAGGGCTGACAAATGCCCCAGGCTCCGCCTCTGTCTCTTTCTCTGCCAGCTCCACTCCCTCTTCTCCCTTGGAGCTCTCAGGTTGCCTTGATGCTGACACTGACTCACACACTGCCTTCTCCTCTGATTTGGCTGCTGGAGGGGCAGGAGCTGACAGGCCACAACACTATCCTAATTTAAGTCTGATAATTGCTGAAGCCCTGCTAGTGTTTGTTGGAATTAAAGCCATTATGTTCCAGACAACTACAACACCAAAATAGCAAAATAAAAGTAGTATGCATAAATTTGAAAGGAAAAGAGAAAGAAAGGAGGGTTGTCTTGATATATAAGAACCAGTGGCCTATTTTTTTTTTCTTTAGCTTTGTTGCAACTTTAGTTATTTCTAGGCTACATTACAGTTGTGATGATTTTCTGGACTGTTGACAAAATAACAACCACAGTTTACCATTACAAATTAAAAGAAAGGGTTGAATGTTAAGGCAGTAGCCATCCACAGCTGGATAGAAAAACAATAAACAAACTAAATGTGAGTTTTGCATTTCATTTAACTTGCCCACCACATTCAAGAATATTTCAAGATGAGATTTTTGAATCTTACTTAGTACTTTTGCCTTCTGTCTAGAGCAGTGATGGCTAATCTTTTCCAGACCGAGTGCCCAAAGCGCGTGCCCGAACTCCCAAAATGCAATGCGTGTGCTGCCCTCGCGCATGTGCCCTACCCCCTGTGCATGTGCACGCAGCCCCTGTGTGTGCCCCCCTGCATGCGTCCCAACCACCTGCATGCGTGGCAGAGACCCAAAGACCAGCTGGCCAGTGGGAGGCATGCACCCATGTGTGGCAGAGCTGAGCTGGGGCAATGGCTCACATGCCCACAGAGAGGGCACTGTGTGCCACCTGTGGCACACATGCCTTAGGTTCACCATCACGGGTCTAGAGTATTTGTTTATATATAGAGAGAGCTACCTTTGAAGTTCCTGTATTGTAAAATTAGATACATTATTAAATATTACATCATTCAGAATTAGCTCTAAGAAATCTGAAACAGAGCAAGGTTGCTTTTAAACCAGGAATCTTCACGTTAGAAAGGTTCTGTTTCTAATTAATTAATTAATTAATTAATTAGTTTGTTTGTTTGTTTGTTTGTTTATTCATTTATTCATTCATTCATATTTCTATGCCGCCCACTCTCTGAGGACTCTGGGCGGCTTACACCAAAGACAGTATACTAAATAGCATATTGGCCCCAACAATCTGGGTCCTCATTTTACCCACCCCGGAAGGATGGAAGGCTGAGTCAACCTTGAGTTGGTGAGATTTGATCTGCTGATCTGCTGAACTAGCAGTCAGCTGAAGTAGCTGCAGTACTGCACTCTAACCACTGCGCCATCTCGGCTCTTCTTTTCTGCTCTATTTAAAGACAAGTCCATTAGATAAGCTCTAAACAAGGAGACAATATAACAAATATCTTTTACAAAATCTTGTCCTAACGTAATTCTTGTTTTGCTGTCACAAATACTTACCAGTTAAAAAGTGCCATATTGGATAGGACTCAGTAGTCCAAAATCTGATACAGGTTTTTGAGTTTTTTCCTATAAACTTTTAATTTCTTGTTATCTAATGAATTTCATGAGTGGATGGGGATTTGAACATGCAAATTCTTGATCCCCATCCAAGATCTTAATCATTACACTATGCTTTCTCTGATAAAAATAAGTAATTTATGTACCACATTTTTAAATGCAATTTACTGATAATAATTGTCAACTCACGATCAATTGCTTAGCAACCATTCAAAGTTATGATGGTGCCTGCCCCCAATGGAATCTACAACCAGGTTCTAAGACCCAACTCTCCCCTGAGTTCACATGTTGGGTGCTCATCAACCAGCCGTTTGCAGCAACTCAGTCACATGTCTGCATTTTGTGATGTTTTTGCTGAAAACTGGCATTTGCTTCCAATATTTATGGCAAAAATAGCCCATAGCAAAAAATGAGTTCACTTTATGACTACATGTTTGCTTAATGACCAGCACAAAAGTAATGCAAAAGTAAACGTCACACGGAGACCCACTTTACAATCGTCATGACTTATGGCCATAATGGGCAGGCTCCATTGTATTTGTGATGACCCGGGGCGTGGCACGAAAGCAACACAACTAAAGAACAAGTCTAATTCCCCTTTATTGATCCAACTTTAGCCCCAAACATCCCCATGTTTGCGAGTAATTCAGTAAGCAAGTTAGCCAAACAGTAACCAGGGCCAGCTTTCCAGTTAGCCAGGTTAGCCAAACAGTAATCTCCAGGCGTCAGCAAGTGCACACAAGGCTCCACAGATTCAACGCTTGTTCCCAACAAATGCCTCTCCCACCAGCACCTCCTTACATCTCAGTCCACAGGTGTGCCTTATGAAAGGGAGGTGGGTACTCTCCTCCCTTGTAGCCGGCTCAGTCTGCGTTGTTCTCGCCTTCTCTCTTCTCTGCATGCCCTAGGATTAGGAGGGAGTGGTCCTTGCTCTTCGCCTGAGCTCTGTCTCTCCTCCTTGTCTGCAAGCCTTTCTAATCCTGAAAAGCCTTGCCCGGACTGACTCTGCCCTTCCCCAGTTTCCTCCAAGGCCAACGTAGCCGCCCTCTCACTGTCTGTCGGCTCTTGTTCCAGCTCATCTTACCCCGCAGATTCAGACTCTGACAGGGACATAACAATAATCATAAGTCAAGGACTGTACTGTACTTGGAGTTATTTCTATAGAATAGAATAGAATAGAATAGAATAGAATAGAATAGAATAGAATTCTTTATTGGCCAAGTGTGATTGGACACACAAGGAATTAGTCTTCGGTGTATATGCTCTCAGTGTATATAAGGAGAATAAAATACATTCATCAAGAATAAAAAGATACAACACTTAGTAATAGTCAAGGTTACTAATAAGCTATCAAATTGTACTAGGAAACAAAAACAATATAAATTGAAAATTACAAGTGACATGGTTATAGTAATAAATCTAATCCTGAGAATTAAATTCTAAATTTAATTTAATTTAATTTGCATATGTATTTAATGCCAATGCATGAGGTCTGAGGAAGCAAACTTAAAAGTAGAGTTCACTTTTGCAGTCCCAGCAACATTTTTTGTGCTTACTGATAATGCGATTTGAACTTACGTTTGGAGAAACCTTTTAGAGTACATTATTTACATAGTCTTGAAAAGTGCAGTTCAGTAGGTTTAGTTTATATATTGCAGACACACAAAATTAAGTCCCTTATGACTTCCTTGCGTTGTGGATAATGTTTCCTATACTACAGAGACTATTCCAACATAGTGCAGCATTTATGGGAACTACTAAAAGCGGATGCATTGTAAAGTTATGCACACGGCAATATAAATATTTTCAGAAGTTCAACAACTTTGTTGGAGTTTAGCCAGATGTTGGCCATCCTTGGTTTGTGATGTAATTCAGTTTTTAGTCCTGCTAGAAGTGCTCAGGGTTCCCCAATCCTCCCCTAAACCAATCACAAAAGTCTTCCTGATCCAATTCATCTATACACATAGGTGATTAATGTTGTGTGTTGTTCTTAATAAATAAATACTTTTAATAGCAATTTAAAAACTGCCTTGAGTTCTGCTTTTTTCTGTTAATTTGTCACTATCTTTTTTGTTTGTTTGTTTTTGGTTCGTTTTTGAAGAGAAGGAAAACTGAACATTGCAGGTTTAAACTAAGAAGACTGCACAACTAGTTCATATGGTATATTCCCCATTATATGCCTGATCACTTTCTTGTAATCCTTTCCACTTCAATTTCTCTGCTCTGCAAGGTAGAGGAGGGGGAGAAAAAGCAAGAGTCAGGTACAGGAGAATGCAAAGGAAAAAAAAAGAAAAAAGAAAAAAAATTAGACAATCTCTCCAGTGCACGACCCATTTCCCATTTGCCTTGCAGAGTGGAGAAATTTGAGAGGAAGGGATTACAAGAGAATAAACAAACATACAATGGGGAATACCCATCAAAGGAAATGGGCTAACGCCAGCAGACCTGAAGGTGCTAGGCAAATAGATGGAAAAAGAGATCAAAGTTATGTCTGCTCTACTGTCGGATGCTGTATTTTTGGTTTTGCCTTAGAATATTATTTCTCTTTTTGTTTTTAAGGCATGTGGTCCTTTGTGGGCTCAACAGTGTGGAAGCCAGTACTATGCAACAGGAATCTGTTCTGAATTCGGTCCCAGTTTTCAGATCCTGAGAAGTTTTTCACCTGCAGTGCAAAGTAAGGCAATAAGTATCAACACATTTATTATAAGAGATGTTTGAAAAAGGAGACATAATAAATGCATGAAACAGAGGATCGCCAGATTTGGATTGCAAAAATCCAGGTGACTACTAGGTGGCAGAAGCATTTAGAGCTATTTGAATCTCATTGTTGCCATCTAACAATCACCAAGATTTCTGCAACCCATATTTGACAGCTTAATATAGGATAAGTGGTGCAGCCTTTAAGTATGATGAATGTTTCATGTGCCCTTTGGACTAGAAATGCTAGTCTCTAGATCTCATGAGAGAGATATTTAACAATACTTATTTTTGCTAGAATTTTTTATATGTTTAGACCATTGTGATTGGTGGCTAATTGCTGTGATTATAGAAATGTTTAATAGTACCTTTGGCCTCTTGCCCATATTATTTGGGGAATTTAAAAATCTTTTATATTTTAAATTTAGGTGAGCAATTATACTGAACCACTTTTAAGTGGTAACTAACAAAATAATATAGAAAAAAGCAAGGCTTCATATTATGTTTTAGTATTTAGCATTTACATATTGAATGATCATAGCAAACATCCATATAAATGTAATTATCTTTCTTGTTATGTATTGAATGTATATAGTTGTGTTAAGCCCTGCTAAGTGAAACTAACCTTTAGATGACCCTAACTGTTAACCCTGCTAAACTGAAACTAACCTTTAGATGAACCTCACTGTTAGCTCCAACTGTTTTCGAGGGAAACTTTGAGCGTTCATATTTGGGTAGGCTTTTTCAAGGATTATGATCAGTTAAGGCCCTGTGGGCCTAGAGTATAAATTACAGGCATTTGCCTGCTGTTCCTCAGTTCAAGTTTTGAGTCAATAAATGCTATTGTAGCTACGCTGGTCTGGTTCTTGCCTACTGAAGCCCACTACACAATATTTCTCTTCCTAATCTTTTTCAATATCTTCTCTCTCTAGCTTTTTGAGAGGTCAAATAGCTTCCGGAGGGGAGTGGTGGCAGGAATAGGATTGAAGTTTATTGCACTTAGCACGGAAAGAGTTAAATCTCTGTGCTTTCCACTTCACAATGTCCTGTAATTCTGAAAAGAATACAAGTAGTCCTCATTTAGAGGTCTTATTTAGTGACCATTTGCAGTTAGGATGGTGATTCTGGCAAATCCTCATATTTCCTACCTTCACAGATCTATAAAGCAAAGGAAAGTTTTGATCACTAGCATAGTTGCAGTTTCACACAGCACCTACTTTTGCTCAATGACCGAGTTGCTGCTCCCAATTGTGGTCACTAAACTAGATAAAGCTGTCTCTGACTGACCTGGGAATGTTTTTTAGTCCTTCCATTCCACTACAAAACAAGATACTACCTGTATCTTTTCTTCTCTTAAAAATGGAGATAGTGGTTTCTCCTTACTTGAATAAGGCAGCTTTCCTTTCAATATATTAAGGATATTCTTCTTGCGCTATTGACACTACTTCATTGTTAGAGTCAATGGAATTTAAATACAATTTTCAGGAGGCAACTACACTTTCTTATTTTTTTTTTAAAGACATTTTGCTTCTCATCCAAAGAAGCTTCTTCAGCTCTGATTGGATGGTGGGGAATGGAAGGATTTATATTCCTTGCAGACAGCTGGTCGGTTGCATCCTTTTAGAGGGTCATTGAGGCCACTTGGAGGTTTATGTCCTCAGGGTCACCTGAGTAGTGCAAATGGGTGTTCGGAGCCTTCTTGGCTGCAGGAAGTTTCCTGCTCTGTGTCCCTTCACTGTTGAAGAAAGGTGCAGGCTGTTGGGGATGAGTCTGGGTTGTCTGCATCTCAAACTGAAGTGCAAATGGTTCCTGTAGCCTGCAGTTTTTCTGGAAATTCGTTGATATTCCCGCATCATTCAAAAGGTGTTCATCCCAAAGTTCATAGCTAAATGTCTATGGAGATTCTCAGTCATCCAGGTCATGGTTGTCCCAAAGGTGCTTTTTCTGGAGTTTCTTGTTTTTCTTTGAAGACATTTCGCTTCTCTTTGCACTACTCAGATAAACCTCCAAATGGCCTCAAAGACTCTCTAAAAGAATGCAAATGACCAGCTGTCTGTAAGGAATATAAATCCTTCCATTCCCCATCAGCCAGCCAGAGCCGAAGAAGCTTCTTGGATAAGAAGCGAAACGGCTTCAAAGAAAAACAAAAAAGTTGCCTCCTGAAAAAGCACCTTTGGAACAACCATGACCTGGATGACTGAGAATCTCCATAGAGAAATTTAAATGCAAGTAGCAAAAATCGTTTCCATGCAGTTTTAATTTAACTCTGTAAATGTTTTAACACCAAGTGGCACAGGTTTCAAAGGAGAGAATTGTTAGAGAAACATGATTTCTACCCTCTTCTTTTCAGACTGTTCTTCAGCCGTTGATTTGGTGATCATATGTGATGAGTCAAACAGTATTTATCCATGGGATGCTGTGAAAGAATTTTTGAAAAAATTCGTTCAAGGTTTAGATATAGGGCCAACCAAAACACAGGTAAGCAAATTAAAACAATATAAATGCAGATGTAGATTTTGGCTCCTTGACCAATATTTATTTTCCTTAGCCCTGAAGACTTTTTTTTCCTGCAGTTTTAGCATGAGAAGCAGAAAAAACAAAATAACACAATACAAGAATTAAAGCTGAAGAGCCTTGGTGGAGCAGTGATTATAATGCAATATTGCAGACAAACTCTGCTGTCTGCCTCCAGGAGTTTGATCCTAACGGGGTTCAAGCTTGATTTAGCTTCCCATCCTTCTGAGGTCAGTAAAATGAGGACCCAGATTATTGGGGGCAATATGCTTACATTTGTAACTGCTCAGAAAGTGCTATAAAGCACTATGGGATGATATATAAGTCTAAGGGCTATTGCTATCATCAAATTACTACTAGGTCTTCAATTTCTCCCAAGATAAATAGAGGGGGCCTCATAATATTAGTACTAGTTTTTCCTTTCCGTATTTTTATGCATTTTTGTTCCAGCTGAGACAAATGCATGTTTGTTGTTTTTGACTGCATCTTAGAAAATAAGGGACAAGTGCATTAACACATCTTTACTTCTGCTCTAATGCATTATTTCATTGATAATGATATCAGATTGGCCTGCAAATCATTGACCTTGCCTGATGAAATACTTCTGAAGAGAAGAAATGGGCCAATATTATCATTGCTATAAAGACATCCAATTTTTATGGAGACTTTGAATTCATTTCCCCCCCTGAAGTTTATTAGTAGAGTACCCTCTGGTTCATAGCACCCACTAAGTTATACTATGGTTGATCTTGTTTTGCTTTAAGAAATTGTATGAACCCGACCAATTATGGCTATTCAGGGTAGCATAATTAAACGGTAACTTAGCATGATGGATGGTGATAAAAAATATTTGCAAGAAATATGTAAAGCTTCAACTTTGTGTCCATGGTGTTAGCATGTTTTCTTGGAATCAATATTCAGAAATAATTTTAATCCAGTTTTGAATGGAAGTTACCTTCTTGGTTATAAAAGCAAGTGTTCCCTTCTCAGTCATTGGTTTGTGTATATTGGCAGCCTTTGTACTAATAAAAAACACTTTTGCTGCATGAAATGTAACGCTGAACTTTGGATGGTGCAATCCATCTACAATGTCCTTTGATATCACATTCCAGATGTTGCCAGACCAGAGCAGAAAATTGATTGATATGGAAAATCTTCTAAAACTGTTTCTACCAAAATAGTTTTTATTCTAGAAGTTCCATTTACCTGGTTTATTACTGAATTCCATAGTCCTCAGAAACTGTTCTTGGAAGCAGGAGTTGTTCTGCAGTGTATTGAAAAGATTAAATGTTAACGTTTTGCATCCATAAGATACAGCCATAGTAAGAAAGTTTCAGTTTATGCACAAATTGAAAAATAAACCTACATTTCATATAATGCAGAGAAACAGATTAATGAAGCTTGTTGATTATACTCTTCTTTTTATTTCTTTTAACAATTATTTCAGGTAGGCTTAATTCAGTATGGCACTTACCCAAGAGTTGTTTTTGACCTTAATACCTACATTGACAAAAAAGAAGTTGAACATGCAATGTCAAAAACCTTTCAAGATGGAGGGATTCAAACTAATACATTCGAAGCCATTGAGTATGCAAGGTAAACCTTAAAGTAATGGCCAGTTCTGGTAAATGGGTATTCTTTTTAATACTAAAGAAATCTGAGGGCTGTTAATGCCAACAGATCTATATACGAGAGCATGTTTAAAATATGGGGACTAATCATTTGGCATGAAAAAGCCTTTTTTAAAATCAAGAAAGATGGCCAGTTTTGGATAGGACTTTTAGGGTTTTTACTTGCTTGGATGGACTGGGATCTTTTTATTTATTTATTTATTTATTTATTTTTAATTTGATTTATATGCCGCCCTTCTTCGGAGACTCAGGGCGGCTTACAATGCAATCTATGCATTTTTTAGGTGTATTAAGCCAGTCCAACACCTTACACATCTTCTGACTTTGATTTTCTTCTGATAATCATGAGGAACAAGCATCTTTGCAATTTGATGGTTTCCTGTTGAATTTCAACAGCCTGATCCTAGGGACTTGAGAAGATCCAAAATGAATTCCTGTGGCCCCATGGGTTCCATTGGTTACTGATCCCAGATTAAAGTGATATTGGAATAATTATTTTTGTACCAAAAGGTTACTGTCTCCCCCCTGCCCTCGAACTTTATTTTGTTGCTAGGGAAAACTGGTAATGAAATCATGTATAAAAAGCAAGATTCGTGTCATGTGAATTGCATCTGTGGTTTATTGCAGGCAACATGCTTTCTCAAAAGAAGCAGGTGGGCGACCAACAGCCTCCAAAGTCATGGTGGTTGTTACAGATGGTGAATCGCACGATGGCTCAAAGTTGCAAGAAGTAATAGCAAAATGCAATGCGGATAATATCACAAGGTTTGGCATAGCTGTAAGTAAAGATTTCATTCTTGCCACTTTAGTTTCTGTTAGTCTTGTATAAATAAAACATTTTTTAAAAAAAGTTTTAAAATGTTTATAGCACACTCAAATCAAAAGACTCTGGTTGCATTTTAATACGTATGAAGCAACAATAGTAATAAATCAAATTATAAATCAATTTTTCCCCAAGACATATGCTAATAAATCTTTCTAAGAATCAAGGCCCAGAAAAATAAAATTGCCTTTAATTATCTTCTGTCTTTTAAGATCTTGACTGAAGATCTACTCACCTCTTGATAAATCCAGAGCCATGTCCTCAAAGAAGTCAGTTCTTCTTTTGGTAAACATGGCCATCCCACCCAGGACCCAGCCTGCATCTTAGTTGTGCATTTGAGAGTTCAGTTGCATCAGGTTTCCTCTGCATAAAGCTCCTTAAATAGGTTTATTGCCATATGCCTTGAGGGAAAATTGAATAAAAACTATGTTGCTCTGATACTCTAGATCATGGATGTCAAACTTGCCACATCACATTGCTGTCACATGACATTTTCCCCTTTGCGGAGCTGGGGTGGGGGTGGCCTGCATGTAACACATCTGGCCCACATGCTTGACACCCTTGCTGTAGATCAGTGTTTCTCAACCTCAAGAATGTTAAGATGTGTGAGATTCTGGGAGTTGAGGTTCATACACTTAAGTTCCTGAGATTGAGAAACACTGCTCTAGGTGAATGTATAGTCAGTAAAGAATAATCATGTAGCATTTTGAAATCAAAGGCAAAAAAGGGCTTCAGAAAGCATAAAGCTCCTTACTGAACACCATCTGCAACTCTTTAAATAGCTACATCTTTTCTCAGGATTGCATGGTTGCCCCCAAAAGTGTAGCATGATCCTGAGAAAAGAGGCATTTGGTTGAAGGAGTTGTACCAGTGGTGGGTTGCTCCCGGTTTGCACCGGTTCACAAGAACCGGTAGTAAAAATTTGTAGTAGTTCAGAGAACCGGTAATAACATTGGCTGGCCATGCCCTGAACGTGTTCCCGGCCTGGTGGCCGCACGCTTACCCCACCCACTCACCTCATAGAGGCTTTTTTTTTTTACTTTTAAAAGCATTTTTTCTACACCTCCTTGGCCGAAAAAATGCTTTTTAAAAAAAAAAAAAAAAAAAAAAAGCCTCTGACGATCACGCGGCTCAGCTGGGATCGTCAGAAGCTTTTAAAAGTATTTTTTTACAAACTTCATCAGCCGAAGAGGTTGTAGGGGAAAAAAAGCCTTTAAAAGCCTCTGGCGATCCCAGCTGAGTTGCCTGATCGTCAGAGGCTTCTAAAAGTATTTTTTTCTGCAACCTCTTAAGGTTGTAGAAAAAATGCTTTTAAAAGTAAAAAAAAAAAAAACTTGGTCATGCCCACCCAGTCACATTACCTCCCCACCAAGCCACGCCCACAAAATAAGCCACGCCCACAGAACCGGTAGTAAAAAATTTTAGAACCCACCCCTGAGTTGTACCTCTCATTTAAAAAATTTTCTTCACACATCTTTAATTCTCATTACTGTGTGCTTAGTGAAGGGAGAAAATAACTTTATTTAAAAGAAAACAAATAACTGTTTCATTGATCTCTCATTGCCAACAATTTTAAAACACTGAATTGGTTAAAGGAATAAAAGAAGAAAGCACATAACAAATGCACAATATTTCAGATTCCTTATATAGTCTCTTTTTGCATTTCTTTACATATGTTTTTTTCATTCTTATATTTTCCTAGGTATTAGGATATTTAATTAGAAATGACAAGGATACTAAAAATCTGATCGAAGAAATCAAAGCAATTGCTAGCCAGCCTACATCAAATTTTTTTTTTAATGTGTCCTCTGAGCAAGCGCTTTTAGAAAAAGCAGGAACACTGGGGGAACGAATTTTCAGCTTAGAAGGTAACAAATATACTGTTTTTAAACTACATGTAAAAATGCAAAATATATGATGACCAGACTCTGTATATTTGCACGATGAGTTGTTGAGTTATTAAAGGCAAATGCTATCTATAGGAGAAAGGATAGACAATTTATAGTAAACAGAGAACAAAAATAGGATTTAGTATTTTTTTAAAAAATCAGCAAACATGTAAATGTTACTAAAATATTTATCAATATCTCCCAACTATTATTTTTTTAAAACAATAACACAGATTTTCTGTTGCATTGCATAGTATCATATTTACCTGAAATAACAAGGTCTGGTAATTCCTCCCCACCCAAAGAAAAATCAAGCTTATAAGCCCCCTGAAACTCCTACACATTGCCCTGTCAATTACCGTATTTTTCGACTATAAGACACACTTTTTCCCTCCTAAAGGAGGCTGAAAATTTGGGTGCATCTTATACTCTGAATGTAACCCCACGCGGTGCCCAAAATGGCTATCCAGAACAGCTGCTGCCTTCTCTTACCCCTTCCACGCTTTGCCTTCTTCAGTCACTGGAGCTCCCTCCAAGGATCAGCTGTGCTTTTGAAGCTGTTTTTCAGCACCAATGCAAGCAAAGCAATCTTCCGTGCTTTGCCTGCTTTTCTAATTGCTGCTCCCTCCAACAATCAGCTGTGCTTTAGAAGCACAGCCCCAACCAGCCCCAACCTCAAAACCAGTGAGCGAACTAATGTGCTGGGACCAGATGAATACCTGGTAGGCAGAATTTTTTTCCCCTATTTTCCTCCCAAAAAACTTATACTCTGATGTGTTTTATACTCTGAAAAATACAGTAGGATTTGCAGCTCTCTCTTTAAAATTATTTTGGGAATGGTTCTCTGCCTACAGATGTAATACATTTGTATATCTGGGTGCATATGAGCAGGCCCAAAATTGTATTTTAACAAAGAATACCAATGGCAAAAATAATAAATTAAACCTACTGGTTAAAATTAATTACCTTTCAAATAAAATATCTCAGTTCTAAATGCAGTTGATCCCTAACTCATTTTTATATACAGGATATACCATTTCTCTTTTGCACATACATACATACACACACACATGTAAACCCTGTGTGTGCAAACCCTAAAACTGTGAAGGACTGAAGCAAAAAACAGATGGAATGCATACCCAAGCCAGAAACAAATAGCGCACAATCCATTACATGCGAGTGTGAGAGAAAAGACATAAGATCAAAAATGTTGGGGGATAAAGCAGGCTAGATTGCTAGATTTGGCAGTAGATGGACAAGCGTATATCTTGGATGCTTTAATCTGGATTCCTGCTTTGAGCAGAATGTGGGGCTCATTAGCATAAATGCCCCCTTTCCAACTCTGTTACTATGACTGGATACTTATGTAGATATTTAAAATATTCAAGTATGGATGAAAGCCTGTATCTTAAGTCTGCAGTCCTTATTGTATCTCAATTAAAACTCTCCTTTTATGACCCTGAAGTCCATATTCAAGGTAGAGTCAGAGTGACTGGGTGGAACTGAGCGTTTACTGGCCAGATACCCTTCCTGATGCCTCTGGAGAATTCGCAACAGATATTTTTTTTCTTTGCACCTGTTAGGTTCAGCTTGTAGCTTACTCCTAACCTGTTGGTCAGGCAATATATCTGTTTCTTTAAGAAACAACTGAGCCACGTAATCAGGGTTTGCTGAACCCTGTAATTAGGCTACAGTGCATAAATAAGCAGCGCAGAGAAGTGTTCTTTGTTCCTGAGTGTTCCTGATTGTTCCTGTTGCTTCCTGCGTCTTTCTGCTGATTGATGTTAGACTGGATTGTTATATGGTACTGTATACCGAGAGTTACTAAAGTCTGTTTGCTTTGGTAAGGAAGATACTTACTGGACTGATATTACTGTTTATGACCTTGGACTGTTTTACCTACACCGAGACTGCTTATTATCTTGTATATAAAGTATTTTTCTCACACGAGCTGCACGTTTATCTCCTTCCCTGTGTGTTACTGCTCTGCTCGTTGCACAAGCAACAAATACTTTTTACACACACCCTAACAGCACCATAGGAGAAAAACAACTAGGCTGCTACTAAGATTGAACTCTCAATCTTCCGAGTGGAAGGAGAGCGTCTTCACCATGCCATTTTTTAAAATTGGATCTCGATTGTTTCTTGAAAACCATGTCTTATTTCTATGTAATATCCTTGTTTGTTGTTTAGAACAGTGGTGTTAAGTATATGAATTATATATTTTTTTCCTTCTCACTAGGTACTGATCAAGGTGATTTATTCCAGATGGAAATGTCACAAGTGGGTTTCAGTGCTGCTTATTCACATCAAAGGGTAACGGAGATACTATAACAAAATGTATTGGAATGCGACCAACACTGAACATCAAAATTGTCTTGGGAATGCCAATTTAAATTGGAACATTTTCACCCCCTCCAAAAGGGTTTAACTTGGATTAAGACTGGATCAGTTTATTTGTTTGACTTAGTTTTATATTCTATTCCAGAGAAGACTTTGAATAGCTTTTAATCTGCTTATAATAATAAGATTAAAACCAATGCGAAGAATAAAGAACAGCAAACCTCCAAGACCTTTTTCTATGTTCAGGAAATCTGAAGTTGTGGCACTGCCACCATTCTAGAATCTTACTCAAAACAGTTATGAGACTGGCTAATAATTACCTAGAAGATTAGAAGCCAATAATGAGTTGGTATTATCACTGCTTCCCTTAGGCCAGGGCTGTCAAACTCCCTGCCCATAGGCCGAATGTGTTACACATTGGCCACACCCACGCCCGGCTTAGCGAAGGGGAAAAAAGTCCCGATATGCCATGTGACGCCTCCGTGACAATGTGAGTTTGACATCCCTGCCTTAGACAGACCAAAGATATGATTAAGACATAATGGTCTCCTCTTATGACATCAGTAACAGATTAATGTTGAATCAGTTTCCCATAGATCAGTGTATCTCAACCTTGGTAGCTTGAAGATGGGTGGACTTCAACTCCCAGAATCCCGCAGCCAGCAGCGCTGGCTGGGGGATTCTGGGAGTTAAAGTCCACCCATCTTCAAGCTTCCAAGGTTGAGAAACACTGCCATAGATGGTAATATGTACATGGGATTTTCAGGCAGGTACAAATTACATGAATTAATAATATACCTGTAAAAATAGTCAGGTAAGCCATGTAATTCAGTCTGCCCATGTGATTTATCCTTTTCATTGTTGCATGGGATTAAATTTCCAAGGTGGTGGGAGAAAAATGTGTTTAGCCTCTGACACCTGCACCTCCCATTCCAAGAACATCAGTTATGACAGTGGAAAGTATTGCTCCTTAGAATAAAGAATGTAGTAAACTGCACAGGATACATTAGAAGTCTCTGACTTAGACAAAGGGTGCACTACTCACAATATTTTAACTGCATCACTAGAAGCTTTTAAATGAAGCACATTTAATTATTTGCCTTGATTTGGTTTCCTCTTAAGGACGTGCTGATGTTGGGTGCTGTTGGGGCCTATGAATGGACTGGAACAGTGGTCCAGAAGAGAGGACGAAAAGACACTATATATCCCAATACAACATTCCAAAATGTTTTGCAAAACAGTCGGAACTCCTACTTAGGTGAGAGCACTAATTCAAAAAGCTTCAGTAGAATATTTGTCCAATGTAGCTGAAGATTAATTTAGTTCTTTTAAAAGGCAATGAATTAATGACTGAATTCAGTTAAAAATCACTGTCTTAGACAAGATTTCTCCATCCTTATTTCCCAGTGAATTCTGGGAGTTATAGTCCAGAAATATCTGGACGTTGGCACCAGTTTTAGAAGATAGGTCTAGAACAATGATGGCTAACCTTTTCCGGACCAAGCGCCCAAAGCGTGCATGCGCAAATACGTGCGTGCGCCCCTGAATCCCCAGAATGCAATGTGTGCATGGCCCCAGTCATGCGCCCCACCCCTGTGCATGCACGTGCTCCCTGCATGCATCCCACACCCCTGTGCATGCACATGAGTTCCCCCACATGTGCCCAATGTGGATGCACACACACACACACACCGCGCATATGTAGACAGAGACCCTGTACATGTGCAGACAGAGACCCTCTGCATGTGCAGAGGGGGGCAACAGCTCACGTGCCCACAGAGAGGATGCTGCATGCTATCTCCGGCACACGTGCTATAGGTTCACCATCACTGGTCTAGAAGGATTAGGCTGGGGAAAATTTCCTAAGAGTTCAGTACTGAAACTTCTAAGCAGCATTTAAGCATTAGGTAACTAAATAAAGTTTTAAAATAAATTTACAAATTTAAACTAATCAGTATAGGTTTAACATCTTGATCTATCCCATTTATAAATATTTCTAAGCCCTTATAACTATAATTTGGACTTTCAGGTTATTCTCTTGCTGTTCTTTCCATGGGAAACTCAGTCTATTATGTTGCTGGTGCTCCCCGTTCTAATTACACTGGCAGAGTTGTGGTTTATCAGGTTGATGACTCTGGCAAGATAATCGTCATTGACTCTCAAAGAGGAGAGCAGGCAAGTGCTGCATTTTAATGCTAAGTTTGCACAATGGTGTGTTTATTCTCTTTGTACTGAAAAAAGAATTTGGTTTTAAAGTAGACTTTATAACAAATTTTTATTTTCATAACGATAGTTTCACACGTTTTCAATGTTGTGCATTGTTCACATAAATTTCTTACAAAGTAATGGCTTCCCTGCCAAGTTTGATAGCAATTGATTGTGTCATTTCAGATTGGCTCTTATTTTGGCAGTGTGGTGTGCTCTGTTGATATCAATAGAGACTCCATAACAGATGTGTTGTTGGTTGGGGCACCCATGTTTATGAATAATTTTAAAAAAGAAGAAGGAAGAGTCTACATGTTCACGGTCACAAAGGTACCTGTAAAATGTATAAGATATCATTACAATAATTACAATATATTTATCTAATGAACATTTAATGTTTTGTTCTGGATTTTTTCTTTTTTCTGATTTTTTTCTTTTTTAAAAGCAATTGTATGAATTTTTTATTTGGGATTGTATGTATTTATTGTCAACTTGCAAAGCTTTCAAGTTGCCATGAGCAGGAGGGAGGGAGAACTGAAGTGAATTCCATACATTCTTTCTGACTGCAATCAGAAGGAGGGTGTTAGATTTCACAGCCAGCCAAAGTGGTTAATTGGAGAATGTGATTTATGACACGACCAGGGGGGAGGGGAGAGTCAGGGTCATAGGGGAACGTAAATCTACGTGGGATCAGTCCTGACTGCATCCGAGTATTGCCGGAATGTTGCTCCTAATAAATCACTATATTTCTTTTGAAGTTTGGATCATGGCTCATGAATTAATTAGGGCATCTTTTGGAAACTTGATATTTATATTATAATTATCTTTGTGTTTTGTTTCTTTTTCTGTTACTATTTTAAAAGCAAAAACATTTAAAACATTTAAAAACACACAAAGCATTCTGTAAAATGGCTAACTTCCATACCACAATACCAGGTTTTCCCACAAGTTTTTTCCAATGCTCCTTATATTTATTTTTAAAAAAATCTATTTGAGTATCAGAATCTTAAGTTAATAAATTAATAGAACACTAACATAAATTTCCTTGTGTTTCACTTCCATTCATTTTGATCTTTTATCAAAGGGAATTTTGGACAAACGAGAAGTACTGGAAGGTCCTGAAGGACTGGAAAATGCTCAGTATGGATCTGCTATCACTGCTGTTTCTGATATTGATTTGGATGGCTTTAATGATGTGGTAGTTGGAGCACCATTAGAAAACGAGAATACTGGTGCTATATACGTTTACAATGGCAAACAAAAGACGTTGCACACTAAGTATTCCCAGGTAAGGAGTATGATGCTCTATTGTGCAGAATAGTTTTGATTTAGGATATGTTATTTTTTTGTTCTTTGCCTAAACACTTTTTTCCAAATTTGCAGAAATTTTATTTTGTTATATATTTACATTGGCAGGTAAGTACCGTAGTTAATATTTCAGCTGGCTTCATTTTTATCATTCCAGTGTGTTCGCTGATGAATTGCCAATGATGGAATTTCTCATATGGATGGCCTTATAGTCTAAGATCAATTGAAAGGCAATAATTTCATTTATATTGTGTTTAAAAGCCAGATGGGTTTTTTTTTAAACTATGTACTTTTGTATACTTTTTCAATGCCATCTGATATTGTTACTTTGATTGTGACATTGCTTAATATCTGTTCAGTTTGACAACATTCCTGTTTTGCTTTTAACCCTTCAGAAAATTTCTGGATCGAACCCTGCATTTGCTCAGAAACTCCAATATTTTGGAAGATCAATAGATGGCCATATTGATTTAAATGATGATGGAATTACTGATGTATCTGTGGGTGCCAATGGAAATGTAATTCAGCTCTGGTGAGTAGAAGATTTTTAAGGAAATAAAGAACACCTTAAAGGAAGAACCTCCTCACTTGAGTTAGCTTTCCTCCAGACTGTATTCTGATTGACACACTGCATATAAAATGAATTTATCCATTCATACAGCTAGACTCAGATTTAATTTGGATCATCAGAAGATTTGGTCCACCACAATGGTCAGATGTTATCCTTCAAATATGTATTTCATCACAATCCAATTGGCATTTAGAAAAAGATCCAGAAAAGATGTATTAGCATAGTTAAAATGTAATCAATAGCATTTTGAACATTCAACCATAAATCTCTTTTATTTCCTGCTTTTGCTTCTCATAACAAGATTCAGTCATCAATGCTACAGATCTGAATCTTTTATCCAACAGCTGGACTGGCCACTTGGAGTGAGACAATACAGGGCTTGAGCAAATGTAAAGTGCAAAGAAATATGTCTGCAAGTTAGTGATAGCAGTACGATCAAAAGTTGTTCTTAAAACCAGGCTTAAACTATTAAAAGAAAAAACATTGGGGTTTTGAACAATATAGTATAAGGAGCAAAAAGGATAAATTAAGGCAATGTCTAATTTACTCAAGACTCATTTGATAGCTTTAACTTAGAGAGCTTGTTTGGCATAGTGGTTAAAACACGGGTGTCAAACTCGTGGCATCACATTGCTGTCATGTGACATATTGTGACTTTTTTCCCTTCACAGAGCTGGGGTGGGTGGGGCCTGTGTGTGACGCATCCAGCCTGCAGGCTGCCATTTTGACACCCCTGAGTTAAAGCATCAAGCTAGAAACTGTGAAACTATAAATTCAAATCCAGCCTTGGACATGGTTGGGCCAATTGCTTTTTTGAGCGGGCTTGGGCCAATTGCTTTTTTGTCAGCCCTAGGAAGTTGCCAATGGCAAACCACTTCTGCAGGGACTTCCGTGCAGTCTCTGAAAATTGGACATGATTGAATGGAAGAAAAAAAATTAACATACCTTCTCAAGAAAGATTAGCACTTAGCACTTAGTGCTGCTTTACAGCCCTCTCTAAGTGGTTTACAGAGTCAGCATATTGCCCCCAACGATCTGGGTCCTCATTTTACTAACCTCCGAAGGATGGAAGGCTGAATCAACCTTGAGCCTAGTGAGATTTGAACTGCCAAATTGCAGGCAGTCAGCAAAAGTAGCCTGCAGTACTGCACTTTAACTACTGCGCCACTGTGGCTCAGATTAGATACAATTGTGGTTGTGTTTCAGTTTCAGAGGCAAAAGAATTTTCAGAGGAGATAGGAATAGACTCATAAACCTTTCTATATACCAAATCTTTATAAACATATCCCACATATTCTGGGATCATGTGGCAAATGTAGAGGAAAACATGCTACAGCAGGCCCTCAAGGCACCTTTTGGCTTTTCAGTTTGAAGTGCTGCATGTCCCTGATACATTTTTTTTTAAATTTGATTTATATGCCGCCCTTCTCCGGAGACTCAGGGCAGCTTACAATGCGTTAAGCAATAGCCTTCATCCTTTTGTATATTTATACAAAGTCAGCTTATTGCCCCCACAACTGGGGCCTCAATTTACCTACCTTAGAAAGGATGGAAGGCTGAATCAACCTTGAGCCTGGCGAGATTCGAACCTGCAGTAATTGCAGGCATCTGGTCTTAATAACAGGGTGCTTTAGACCACTGTACTACCAAGGCTCTTGGACAGGAAGTTGATATTTACAGTTAGCGAAATATTTAGTTTTTGCTGTTCTCCAACATACATTAGCGCATGTATGAAAGCCTTTTAATTTTTGCCATTCTATTAGAATTAGATTCTTTTAGGGTCTATTCAAGATACATTTAAAAGAATTGTTGTGTTTAGTGTATACATAATTAATCATGAATTTTGAAATCAGATACTCAGAGAAGTTTATTCCCTAATAATAGGATTGCAGCTATTTTTTGTTTAAAATTAATTCTGTAAATTCTAGATATAAAGTCGGAACACCTCTCCCTCCCCCCTCCCTTTTTTTTTTATGACTTCTCAGTCTCACAGAACTCTGCCTGCCTCTCTTTCAGGTCACAGAGTATAGCCAATGTGACTGTACATGTTTTATCTACTCCTACGAAGATTAGTCTGCAGTACAAGAACACAGAAATAGATTTAAATGTATGTTTTGGTGTAACTTTTAGACCTATCCATACGAATGATAAAGTGGGTGAGTATTTCCCTTAGTTAATTTCCTTTCATTAGAGACATTTGCAATTGTCAGCTAAGTAACATTCTATCTCTGTCATACACACAAACTAATCTGGATGCAATGCAAAATTCATAATAAATGTGTAACTTTTATTTTAATGTAAATGGCTTTATTGCTGCAAAGTCTACCAAAAATATAATAATCACACTGGTTAACTGCTACTGTCATAATTATATTATTTTAATTGCTATTATTTCTGAATATACAGTACTTAACATGTTTCCCCGAAAATAAGACCCTGTCATTTTTAATTTTTTTTGAACCCTGAAATAAGCGCTTGGCTTTATTGTCATGTGCTCAAAAGCCCAATTCGGCTTATTATCAGGGAATGTCTTATTTTATTTATTTATTTATTTATTTATTTATTTATTTATTAGATTTTTATACCGCCCCCTCTCCCGAAGGACTCGGGGCGGTGAACAGCCAAAATTAAAAACATACAATATAAACAATTAAAATATGTTTAAAACAGAATTAAATCCAAAATGGCTCCCCAATTTAAAACGCCCTACCCATACCCCTATAAATAAGACGAATTTAAAATTTAAAAATTTAAAATTTCCACATTTAAAAAGGGGGAAGATTTAGGCCAGGCCAGCTTGATAAAATAGAAAAGTCTTAAGCGCGCGGCGGAAGGTGCGCAGATCCGGGATCCTACGTATCTCCGGGGGGAGCTCGTTCCAAATCGTAGGTGCCCCCACAGAGAAGGCTCTCCCCCTAGGGGCCGACAGCCGACATTGTTTGGCCGACGGCACCCGGAGGAGCCCCTCTCTATGGGAACGTACTGGCCGGTGGGAGGCTATTGGTGGTAGCAGGCGGTCCCGTAAATAACCAGGTCCTAAGCCATGGAGCGCTTTAAAGGTGATAACCAGAACCTTGAAGCGCACTCGGAAGACCACCGGGAGCCAGTGCAGCTCGCGCAGGAGAGGTGTTACATGAGAACTCCATGTCGCTCCCATCACCACCCGCGCGGCCACACTCTGCGCCAGCTGGAGCCTCCGAGTGCACCTCAAGGGGAGCCCCATGTAGAGAGCGTTGCAGTAGTCCAGACGAGAAGTAACGAGGGCATGAGTGACTGTGTGTAGGGAGTCCTGATCTAGATAGGGACGCAACTGGCGGATCAGGCGAACCTGATGAAAAATCCTCCCGGACACGGCCGTCACATGCTCTTCTAATGACAGCCGTGAATCCAGGAGGACATCCAGGTTGCGGGCCCTATCCGTGGGGGCCAATGATTCACCCCCAATAGTCAGCGATGGCACTAGCTGACTATATCGGGACGTCGGAAACCACAGCCACTCGGTCTTGGATGGGTTGAGCCTGAGCCTGTTCCTCCCCATCCAGATCCGTACGGCCTCCAGGCACTGGGACATCACTTCAAGGGCATCGTTGGGGTGGTCCGGGGTGGAGATGTACAGCTGGGTGTCATCCGCGTACTGATGGTACTTCACCCCAAAACCACGGATGATCTCGCCCAGCGGCTTTACATAAATGTTGAACAAAAGGGGCGAGAGGACCGATCCCTGCGGCACCCCACATATGAGGGGCCTCGGGGTCGACCTCTGCCCCCCTGTCAACACAGACTGCGACCGGTCGGAGAGAAAGGAGGAGAACCACCTTAGTACGGTGCCTCCCACCCCCAACTCTTCCAACCGGTGCAGCATGATACCATGGTCGATGGTATCAAAAGCTGCTGAAAGATCTAACAGGACCAGGACAGAGGAGCAGCCCCTGTCCCGAGCCCTCCAGAGATCATCAACCAACGTGACCAATGCCGTTTCCGTGCTGTACCCAGGCCTGAAACCCGACTGGAACGGATCCAGATATGATGCTTCATCCAGGTACTGGGGAAGCTGTCCCGCAACCACACTCTCAACAACCTTCGCCACAAAACGAAGGTTGGAGACTGGACGATAATTAGCCAATATTGCCGGGTCCAGGGAAGGCTTCTTGAGGAGGGGCCTCACCACCGCCTCCTTAAGGGCGGCGGGGAAGACACCCTCACCCAATGAAGCATTTATAATCCCCTGGAGCCAGCCTCGCGTCACCTCCCGGGAAGCCAGCACTAACCAGGAGGGACACGGGTCCAACAAACATGTGGTCGCGTTCAATCTACCCAGAATCCTGTCCACGTCATCTGGGGTCACAGGATCAAACTCATCCCAGATAACAGTCTCAAGACCTGCCTCCGTCACTCTCGCTGGATCTACCCAGTCAGAGTCCAGACCTTCCCGAATCTGAGTGATTTTGTCATACAGATACTGAACAAAGTCCTCGGCTCTTCCCTCCAAGGGGTCCTCCCGCGCTTCCTGGTGGAGCAGGGAGCGGGTCACCCTAAACAGGGCGGCCGGGCAGTTATCTAATGACGCAATAAGAGCAGCAAAATGCGTACATTTTGCTGCTTTTATCGCCACTAGGTAAGTCCTAATATGGGATCTAACCAGTGTCCGGTCCGATTCAGAAAGACTAGCTCTCCAACTACTCTCTAGGCGTCTTTTCTGGCGCTTCATCTCCCTCAGCTCCTCGGTAAACCAAGGAGCCAGGCGAGATCCACGCCGGGTCAGAGGCCGCAAAGGCACGACTCGATCCAGGGCCCCAGCGGCCGCCCTATCCCAGGCGGCCACTAGGTCTCCAGTCGAGGCGTGAGACAGAACCTCAGGAATTGGCCCAAGCTCCGTCTGGAACCTATCGGGTTCCATCAGGCGCCTGGGGCGGTACCATCTTATCGGTTCCGCCTCCCTGCAGCGGGGTGCCGCGGTACGAAGGTCAAGGCGAAGGAGAGAGTGATCCAACCATGACAAGGGCTCGATGACTACATCCCCTATCTCAAGATCACTCAACCACTGTCCAGAGACAAAAACCAAGTCCAGTGTGTTTCCCCCAGTGTGCGTAGGGGAAAACAGGTAGTAATAACAGCAATTAAATAATAGCAATTAAAATAATAGTTTTTGAATATTTTAGTTGTCAAATCCAGAGGTGAAATCCGTCCGGATCTATCCGGCTCTCATGACCGGCGGCAGGAGGCTCCGTCCACCCGCCGGGACGTCATTATGTCCCGTTTTTGACCCTCTGCACATGCGCAGAAGGTTCTGCGCATGCGCAAAACAGGTGCATGCACTCACGAACCGGTAGCAAAGGTAAGTGCATTTCACCACTGGTCAAATCCCAATAATAACAATGTCATTATGGAATGATGAATATTTCCCCATTATTTTATCTTCTTGTTTTCAAACTAGACTGCACATGAAAATAAATTTGAAACATTTCAAGTGTTTCACAGTATTTTGCAAAATAATTTCATTATTTTGTCACTGTGTTAGTTCATGGCGATATTCCCAAAGCAGCGCCATCCTATTGTGCACTGGTGTTGTGACAAATAGGATTTGTAATCCAATACATTTAGTGCTACCTGGATAGTCCAGGTTAGAGGGCTTTTTAAATAAAATACCATGTTAATTCTTGTTGCTATCATGACTGAGAATCTCTCTTTTTTTTTTTTTACATTCATGGGGTGTTTTCTTGATTCTTTGTTTGCATAGAAATATATATGAAAGTGAATAGAGGGCCTTACCCTCAGTTAAATAATAGGTTGGTTTGCACCTTGAGGCTGTATCTCGACACTTATATCATTTTTTTCACCTTTAGATATTAGGTACAATCTAACATTGGATGCGGATCTCTTATCTTCACGCATTACCTCTAGAGGATTATTTAAAGAAAACAATGAGAGGTCTCTGCAGGGTAGCATCGTAGTCCACTCTCTGAAGACGTGTGTGAATCACATTTTTAATGTGCAGGTAAAAACTAGCCCAGAATTATCCAAACGAAGTATCAGAACTAGGCAGCTACTTTTGGACTCTTGTCCTTAATTCAGTTTCCTGAGTTGAATAGGCTGTCAAAACATTTCCTATGATGTGATGCCATTAGAAGATGAAGGTCAGACATTTTAGCCCATTTTTCACTCAGGTTTGGATTTGGGCAACAGCGTAAAGATGGCAGTGAGTGTCAGGGTTCCAAGTAATACCCCCAACGAAAGAAAACTCCAAGGCTTGAGTTTCCTCAAAGTTACATTTTATTACAGATGTCATATTGGCACATCTGGGAAAACCCAAATCTGAAAGCTTCCAGGTTTTCCCCACCCAAAGGAAAATTCAAGTCCCTGCCTAATACCCACAAGTCCATCACATGGACCAATCAAAGCACTGTCACAAACTGGAGATGCCTCCTAGTTCCAGCCGTCCAGGTGCAGGCCAAAATGTCCTTGAACTTCTGAGAAAGGAATGTTATTATGACTATATATCACCCATGCTCCATACAATCCCCCCTCCCAATTTCCCACAGTAGTAAATGTGGCAGGTCTGAAGGCCCAATACAAAAGATGGCTTCCAGGCTGACAGTGAGAGCATTTTGCTTCATGGGGGTCTCGCACTCCAATCCCATCCTTAAATTCTCCCCAGTAAACAATGGGCTGTTTTGCCACTAAATTACAGCACAATGATCTTGGGGTGTTCTGCAGATCACAGATGAGGTGTTGAGAAGCATATGAAGCCCATTGGCCATAATTTCGTTCACCAATATTTTACATGTGTAAAAATGAATTTAGGTTATTTCAAATTAAAGACTCAGTATTAAGTGTTTGATCGGATTTGTTATTTCTGAAGAGGTGGAGTAAAATCTGCAGATATGCAGAATGGACATTTTTGTCCAGAAAAGTAGAAATTAGCTTTCATATAATGTGTTAGCATTATTATGTTTAGTCATTTCTAAAACCTTGTGATTAGTATTAATAATAAAAGCAGTGGTACAGTAGTGACCAAAATTGTGGAAACATTTGGGGAAAAGTGTATTTTTGAGGTTTGATGGCTAATAACACCACCCTTTTTTGGAGTTTCAAGATAATCATATTCCACTGCTGGAATGGCCTGAGAATAGCCCAGACCTTAACCCAATTGAAAATCTATGGAGCCGACTAAAGAAACTTGTTAGTCAGAAGCGACCCAGCAATAAAATCCAGTTAATAGAAGCAATCATTCAATCTTGGTTTCACATTATAACAGCTACAGAACTAAAAGACTTGATTCACTCCATGGGAAGACGTTGTAAGGCCGTAATAATGCCAATTAATAGTTGGGTAATAGTTACTCAACTATTAATTGACATGGTGATAATTTTTGTATATCTTGTTTGTTCTATGTGTTTCACTTTTCTTCTTTATACTGTAACTGCTATTCTAATAGCAAATCCTTCATAAAAGTTATTGCATTACATTCTTGATTAAATTATCTTTCCATTGATATATATAATTTTATGGTACTACTAAAAAAAAAAGTGGTGTTATTAGCTAGTTTTAGAAAATACACTTTTCCCAAAAGGTTTCCACAATTTTGGCCACTACTGTAAATGGAACAAGAATACATTAACATAATAATAAACTCAGCTATCCATGAAATTCTCATCAGAATAAATGTGCTTTCACCTGGGGCTTAAAAGTAAAGGTGGCCAGAAGCATTTGGGAAAACGGTGAACGGTGTTATCACTGGGATGTGTGAAAACACCACCAGCAAAGGGTGTCCAGTTGCCAACAGCCTGAAACCTGAAGGTGATATTACCTCTATAAGGGCACAATGCCAATTTCAACTAGGCCAGGTTCATATGAGAGCAAATATTGCTTTGAGCCTCCCTCTTGCACTCTGGCACTGAGCTAACCTGTTAGGGGAGCAATTTCATCTTATTGGCTAGCTTGGCAGTTTTCCTTCCCAAAGTATTGGAGATCAATTGAATAAATGCAAACGAAGAAAGAGTTGCATCTTTAAAAAGAACTTTCTTTGTAAACTTGTCCCATTGAAATGTTCAGAAGTGCCTTTGCTAAGCAATATTTTAATGTTAATCGGCCATTAGTTACATAAACTTAAAATAAGAAAGATCAAGCAAGCAAATCAAAGGTTTGTATGGATATTTATGCTTTGTGTATGTATTTACATTTATAGGCCCCTTCCGATGCTATTGACTCCCTTAACGTGCTCATTGATATTGGGCTCAAGAACCCCAACTCAAGCCCTGTTCTTGATAAAACATCTCCTACCCGTCTTGTTTACAGCGTAAGTAAATTAATATGCTTTCTTTTTATGTGTTTTTAATAAAGTTGCTACCTGGACAGGATGAATATTTCCATGGTTTCAGAAAACTAAGTGTGGTCGTAATATTACAATGTTATTGGTTTAATGATGTGGTCTGCCTCAGTATCATCTCCATAATTAGAACAAACAAAAATCAAATGTGTTGATAGTGGTAGTACTAATAATGTTGATTATTCAGATGATTTATATTCCACCTTTTATACAGAAGTTACCCATGCATCTTCCTCTAAGCCTTGTAGCAAATATTTGCCTCCAAAGAGGGGTGAAAACTACAAACTTGAGATTCTTCCAGACCCACATAAAAATGCTGAGCCAAAAAATATACATAGCTACCAATGTCCCTACAACTAGCCTCTAAATTCTGGTAGGGGGCATAGAGTAACTAGTTACTGAAGACTCTACTTGCATTTATCAGTAATTTAATTTAATTTCCAGATCAAACTAAAGGCCCATGTAATGCAACTTTTCCCACAATACCCAATAAGATATTCATGGGGAAAAAAACAGTAAGTGGGGCATAATACTACTACAGGCAGTCCTCAGCTTATGATCCCAATTGGGACCAGAACCTGTGCCGTTAAGTGAGGCAGTTGTTAAATGAGTCTCACCTGATTTATGACCTTGTTTCTTATGGTTAATAAGTGATCTTGGTGTTATACAAAACGGGGGGGAAAAACCCTTTTCCATTAATTAATTGATGTAAGAACATTTTGAAGTGGCATAATGTGTTTAATAAAGGGAATAGTGCAAGGCTTTAAAATGCAACACATAAAATAAGATGTGGGAAGAATATTTGTAACATACCATATTTTTCAGAGTATAAGACGCACCAGAGTATAAAATGCACCTTAGTTTTTTGGGAGGAAAATAAGAAAAAAGCTGATTGGTGGGTGGATTGACCTCTCAGAATATCCCCAATCAGCTGTTCCCAGAGACGAATTTTAGCAACAGGTTCCTTGGTTGTGAACTCTGTGCCTTGCTTTTTTTTTTTTTTTTGCCTCTGAAACTTCAGAAACTCTGTTTCAGAAAAAACTTTCTTTCCTACCTCAGAGCCTCTGAAGCTCTGTTTGGGGGCTTCTTTTCTGAAGCTTCCTTTCTGATGCTTTTTTCAGCCTCAGAAACCTCTGTTTGAGAAGCTGGGTGGGGCTACATTTGGAGTATAAGACACACCCAGATTTTTACTTTTTTGTGGGGGGGAAAGGTGTGTCTTATACTCCGAAAAATATGGTAATATTAATCCAGAGAATACTTGGATGAAGAGAGAAGGTTTGAAGAGCTCCTGAAACATGGGTGATGCATATTCTGTAGAGTGAATAAAGAGTTTTCAAAGCATCCTCTTGCATTACTGTGTCTGCAAGTTATGACTTAGTCGACAAAATCTATTTATCAAGGTCTGGTTCTGTCTTCTCTGTTGTGTATCATGTTCCCTCTTCTCATTTTATTAGTACAAAAAAAAAATCCAAGATCTTTCCCCCGGGAAGTTGCTCCAGTTTCAGATCTTCATCATTGTTCTTTTTTCTATACCTAGATATTCTGTAAGCAGATTCCTTTTCCATAGAATTTTCCTATTTGTGCAGAAGTTGAATTTTGGAGATGCATTAGTTATTTGCTTAATCCAGATTTATACCCAGAAATATACTTCTTCGAATCATAAAAAACCAAACCAGCAGTTTAAATGCTGTAATAAGAGAGATGTAAACATAGATCCTTTACTTTGAACAAAGAAGATGAAAAGCTTTGGATTGCTTTTATATTTTTCTAGATACCATTTGTCAAAGATTGCGGTGAAGATGAAGTTTGCAAGACAGATCTCATTCTGGAAGTTGAACAGAAGAATATTGGGTAAGAAATGCTTGTGTTGCTATCTCTTAATTCTGTTCCATAATAGAAAATGGCCTGTCTGGTTTGAAAATAAACGAAGTAGATGTTTAGAAAGGAGAAGAATTAAGCTTTAAAAGAAGCATGAGATAACTATAATCCGTAGTATTTTCTAGATGAGAATAAGTCTCCATTTCTGGAGGGATCAATGAACATATTTGTCATTTGTAGATGTTAAAGCAAACTGATACATGGAGCACACCTAGGAGTGAAATCCAGCAGGTTCTGACATGTTCTTGAGAACCGGTAGCAGAAATTTTGAGTACGGAGAATCAGCAAATGCCACCTGTAGCTGGTCCCAGAGTGGGGTGGGAACTGAGATTTTGTAATATCCTTCCCCCAGGAGTCGGGAGGGAATGGGGATTTTGCAGTATCCTTCCCCTGGAGTGGGGTGGGAATGGAGATTTTGCAATAGCCTTCCCCAGGAGTTGGGAGGGAATGGGGATTTTGCAGTATCCTTCCCCTGCCACACCCACCAAGCCACACCCATAGAACTGGTAGTAAAAAAAATTGAATTTCACCACTGAGCACACCTACTTTACAACATGGTAGCTTTTTAAAATTAAGTTGAAATTTAAAATAAACTTTAAGAAGTAAAATAGGATGAAGGAAGTAAAGAGCAGCAGCAGGGAAAGTGTCTGCAGAAATAGAACCTCTGAGGAACCCAGGATTCATTTTCATTTTTTTCCTTCTCCAGGAACAACAAACAGTATTTTCTTGTCACCAGTAAAAACAAAAGACTGACATTTGGTGTGAAGTTGAAAAACATGAATGAAAATTCATACAACACTAGAATTCAAGTGGATTTTTCTGAAAACTTGTTTTTTGCTTCATCTGTTTCAGCGGTATCTATAATCTCTATTCTTACTGCTCTGCTCAGTGCAAATAACACCAATTATTGTGTTAAAGAATAATATCTTTTTTGGGATGTGTGCTGGCATACTGTGTGTAAATAGGGAACAAATTCCACACTCGGTAACAGTGATGATGTTACCTAGTTGAGAAGTGAAATGTCTGCAAGCAAAAAACCAGTCTCGGGGAACGCCAAGGATTTCATAATTATATTTTATCTCCTTTTCTTATAAGTTAGTGAATTGGAAAAAAATGTTCATTTGAGCTATTCCTGGATGTTAATCTGAACTTAAAATATGTTTATCCTTTTTTGCCTTGGCAACAAAGTTTGCATGCCCCAATCAATATCATCATTCTTACTCTACACTTTCTAAAAGAGGAAGACTGCTTAGTATGTCTATAGGTGAAAAAAACTGCAGTCCTATCAAATTTAAACCTTGGCATGTTTTTTCTGAAATCAGCACTATTGAATTAGCTATATTTGTCCATAGCATTGAGAGTTGTGATTCAGTACCAAGATAAAGTCAAAACTAAATCTGCTAACCCTACATTCAGGAAATAGAAAAATAAACTGACTCTGTAGTTTTGGGAGATGGGCATGCTCGATATATGAATAGCTTAACTTCCTAGTTCATATTTGGAACGTTGTTATTGAATGCTAATAGATTGTTGGGCGCAATATGCTGACTCTGTAAACAGCTTAGAGAGGGAGCTGAAAGCACTGTGAAGCACTATATAAGTCTAAGTGCTATTGCCATTATTATTATATGACACAGTTGCACATGTGAGAATTAACTCTCATCACTTACCTTGTTCCTCTATTGAGGAATCTCTGTTGGCTCTCATTTCTTCCACAAACAAAAGAAACCTCCTATTAGCAGAAGACCAATTTCTTAATCTCATCTATTATCTACATCGTTATCCCTCAAAATATCATATGAAAGTTTCATTGCACAATAAACATAAATTTCATTCTAATAAAATATCTGCTTTTTATTGTTAGGTGGATGAAAGCGAAGTTTTATGTCAGATGGCAGTTGTCCATCATCTTGTTGTCTGCCAAATCAGCTATCCTGTTTTTAAAGCAAGGCAAGAGGTATCTAAATAAGACATGCTACAGGGGTTCAAAATATCAGATCAAAATATTTTAAATATGCAAAATAAAAACAAAAGCATTATGTTCAGCAATGCAAAATACGTAGGCTAAAAAAAATTGAATTCTCAAGAACTATTCGTCAAACAAGGAAGGGAAAGTGGGGAATGGGGAATTGTGGGTTAAATTGTTTGTAATCCATATTTTTACCATGTTATAGTTTTAATTGATCTATTAAATTAGCATTCGCAGATACAGATTGGGTGCATTGGTCTCTTGGAAGACAAGCATTAATTCGCGAAGACATGGCCTTTCAGAAGATTGATATTCCCATGTGAAAAGCATCAATAACAGAAAGGTGTAGGCAGGTGTCCCGTCTCTCACAGCTCAAGTAAAACTGGTGATAGTAGGCAGTGCTCCGCAATAGGACTGCGAGGGGAAGGATGCTTACTCTTGACCATGTCATCACCAGCTTTATCATTCATTGGTCATATAGCTAGATTTATTTGAAGGCAAGGCATCACTTTAGCAGCAAAACGATTTTAGGCTGCCTTTTCAGTGGGTTAAGGATGAGACAGAGGCAACCTGATATGGCTATATCTCTTAAAAATGGTTATCAAGGGTACTTTTATGCTGCTATAAGCAGAACATGACAATGAATTCTTAGCAATCAGGCTGATGTTAATATAGAATAGAGGTATATTGTATTTGCAGCTCAATTCTGAATTGGTGCTTTGGAGTATCCAGAGCAGCTGTGTAATCTTGGGAAAATATGCAGTTGCTTTAATTAGTTCCAAACATGCTATATTCATGTCCCTAGCGGTTAAGAGGCTGGTCTTGTTGACCAGTAAGTTGGCAGTTCAAGACCAAGTACCACATGACAAGTTGAGCTCCCATTCTTGCCCCAGCTCATGCCAAACTAGCAGTTTAAAAGCGAACTGGAAATGCGAGTAGATAAACAGGTACTGCTTCAGTGGGAAGGTAACAGCGTTCCGTACATCTTGGGGTTCGGTAATGCTGGCCATCTAAAGGGACGCAGCTCAGTGGCTAAGACGCTGAGCTTGTCAATCGAAAGGTCAGCAGTTTAGCGGTTCGAATCCCTAGCGCCACGTAATGGGGTAAGCTCCCGTTACTTGTCCCAGCTTCTGCAAACCTAGCAGTTCAAAAGCACGTAAAAAATGCAAGTAGAAAAATAGGGACCATCTTTGATCGGAAGGTACTGTAACAGCGTTCCATGCGCCTTTGGCGTATAGTCATGCTGGCCACATGACCATGGAGATGTCTTCGGACAGCGCTAGCTCTTCACCTTTGAAACGGAGATGAGCACCGCCCCCTAGAATCGGGAACGACTAGCACATATAGCAAAGGTAAATAGCATTTACCTTTAATGCTAGCCATATGACCACAGAAGCATCTTCGGACAACACTGACTCTCTCAACTAGGAAATGAAGATTAGATTATCCAGTCTAGAGTTGGACACGACTGCACAGGGAAACTTTTGCCTTTTTTATGCTTATCAAATATTTGTTTAAAATAAAATTGGAAGTGCTATACAGTAACACCCTTTTATGGAATATCTGATCTTATTCTTTAAAGCAAATTGGGTTACTAGTGATAATGACTTTCCCGATTTTAATGTTATTTTCCATCTTTATTTTCTTCGTAGGTATCCTTTGATATTAATTTTGACTTCAGTTTGAAAAAACTTCAGAATGTGGCAGTATTACATTTTCAAGCCTTGAGGTACACTGTAAATTTCCTGCTACACTTCAAAACAATATTTGCAGCCAAACCCATACTTCCTTAGTCTGAAATGCTGTGTTCTTCAAGATATCCGTTTTCACAAACAAAGAAGTTATTAATCAAATAATAGTAACTTCATAATAATGTTAATATAATCCAGAAGTTTTCAAAAAGCTAATTAATTGCTAGGCCATCTTTAAAAGCTCATGTAAGCGTTCAAGCCAGAAGTTTTGCTTATTCCAAAAAGAACTTGTTTTATTATAACTTGCTATCGGAAGATACACAGTAGAACATACCCACCAGAACTGGAGGAAAACTATTCCTTAGACTGGAAGAGTTTACGGTGAATAGTATAAAAGCCATCCAGATACATTGCACCCACTATATCTCACATGTACAGATAAATTTTTAATTTGTGACTTCCTTCCTTCCTTGTGACTGAACTGTTCTTAGTCAAATTTCCTTTGAGCCTCCTGATAGAACTTATAAATTTAGAGATTATAACTTTGTAAATGTTTTCAAATATATTTTATTTTTTTTACTGAACAGTGCAAGTAATGAAGAAGATTATACAAACAATCAGGTGAACCTAACACTTCCACTTCGTTATGATGCAGAACTTCACTTAATGAGGTAATTCTAAATTGGCCTTCTGCTAATTCTATTGGTGTTAATAGACCCTAGTCTGTGATGTATTATATTCTGTGCTAGCTGCGAAGTCCACACAGCTTAAAGTTGCCATGGTTGAGATACATTGTCCTAGAGATTTTGTTGTAGTGGTTAAGGCATCAGGATAAAAAACAGATCATGAGTTCTAGTCAGGGGTGAAATGCTCCCGGTTTGGACCGGATCTCCTGATCTGGTAGCGATGGCGGCGGGTGGTTCGGAGAACCGGTAGCAAAAATCCCTACAGCCCCCCCCCCCCCGCCATGCCCAGCTGAGCTGCAGGATCATCAGAGACTGTTTATTTAAATTAAATTTTTTTAAAAATGCTTTTAAAAGCCTCTGACGATCCCAGCTGAGTTGCCTGATCGTCAGAGGCTTTTAAAAGCATTTTTTTCTGCAACCTCTTCGGCCGAAAGAGATTGTAGAAAAAATGCTTTTAAAAGTTAAAAAAAAAAAAAGTTGGCCACGTCCACCCAGTCACATTATCCCCCACCAAGCCAGGCCCACAGAACCGGTAATAACAAATTTTTCATTTCACCACTGGTTCTAGTCCCATCTTAGGTAAAAAGCCAGCTACGTTACCTTGGGCCAGTAACTTTCTTTCATCCCTAAGAAGGAATCAATAGCCAACCACTTCAAAAATCTTGCCAAAAAAACTGGAAGGACTTGTCCAGGCAGTCCCCAAGAATCGAGCACAATCGGGGGGGAAAAAAATAGATTCTAATCCTAGATGAATTTATGGGGCATAACATTGTGGCTCATCCTCCAAAGCAAAAAATACCCAGTATGCAGTGGAGGGATTCATCCAGTTTGCACCACTTCGGGAGAACCGGTTGTTAACTTTCTGAGCAGTTTGGTGAACTGGTTGTTGGAAGAAATCATTAGGGCAGAGAACCGGTTGTTAAATTATTTGAATCCCACCACTGCCTGTATGTGTAAAGACACAGATGTTTTTCTAGCATTCAAAGGATCCAGGAAAAAGATGAATAGGGATGCAGAGAAGGGGGAAGAACAATTTCAGATAAGCTGCCGGAACAGACAACGTCTGTCAGCTGTTGACATTCTCACAGAGACACAAGTTATTTCAAACCTTCTTTGTAAATGTCGAGACATTCACAATAACACAGGCATAGCTATTGCTATAACACTACTTTTTAAAAGTAAACAAAAATATACCTGGATTAAAACAATCTCTTCCAGATCTATTTCCAAATTTAAGAGTTTCTTAATATTTTAAGGAAAACTTTTATCCTAAATACCTACTCTGATTTATTTCTCCCCAGGTTTACCAGTATGGACTTCTATGAAGTGTATTCTAATCATAGTGTTTACACCGTGGTGAATAATTTTGATGAGATTGGACCTGCATTTAATTTTTCAGTTAAGGTCAGTAAACATTTTCAAGTATCTTTTAAATATATAAAGACAATCATCTGTTCACAAATCATGGTAAACTAAAACACGCCTTGCTTTCAGTTTAGCGTGGTGATGAAATTTACCTCTGGTGGTTTAGAGATAAAAATCATATGAAATTAGCTACCACAGGAAGCTTCGGTTCTCCAAACCGCTTTGCTTCTAGATAGGGTGCCCTACAATCTAAATAACTCAAAGTATACATCTATTTCATGGTTGTAAATGTGCCAGCCTGTCTTCCTTTCTAGCATTAATTAAGAGAAAATGATACTTACAATGTAGGCCATTTACTATTGGAATTAAGGCCGGTATTAATCCCTCTCTTGCTTTCCAGGTCACAAGAGGAAGTAATCCAATCAATATGGCAACTTTAAAAATTCATATCCCTAATCAAACTAAGGAAAATAACCCTTTGATGTATGTGACTGCAGTGCAAACCAGTCAGGTGAAACAATGGTTTATTTTAAGTATAAAACAGTAACGAAGATGATGCAAAGCTAAATGTCTATGGAGGTCATAACTGTCCCAAAGGTGCTTTTTCAAAAGGCAACTGGACTTTCTTGTTTTTCTTTGAAGATGTTTCGCTTCTTATCCAAGAAGCTTCTTTAGCTCTGACTGGATGCTGGGGAATGGAAGGATTTATATTCCTTGCAGACAGCTGGTCATTTGTATTCTTTTAGACAGTCGTTGAGGTCAGCTGTCTGCAAGGAATATAGATCCTTCCATTCCCCACCGTTCAGTCAGAGCTGAAGAAGCTTCTTGGATGAGAAGCGAAACGTCTTCAAAGAAAAATAAGGAGGTCCAGTTGCTTCTTGAAAAGGCACCTTTGGGATACAAAGCTACCGTGTTTCCCTGAAAATAAGACCCTGTCTTATATTTTTTTCAACCTCGAAATAAGCGCTAGTCCTTATTTTTGGGGAAGCCTTATTATTTTGGGGCGCGTGGAGCAAGATGGGGCTCCTCTTGCCATCTTACCTGATTTCCAGCTCTGTCTCCCTAACCAGAGGAAATGGTGGGGACCGGCTGCACATGCATTTAAATATTTTGGGGAGGTCTTATTTTCGGGAAAACACAGTAACTAATACAAAAACTTCACTGATAATGATGAGACAAATTTAAGCCTGTCAAAAGCTGTCAAAAGATACATACCTGATTAATGTTGCAATCTTATATATACTCAGTAGGGCAGGGGTCTCCAACCTTGGCAACTTTAAGACCTGTGGATTTCAACTCCCAGAATTCCTCAGCCAGCGCTGCTGGCTGAGGAATTCTGGGAATTGAAGTCCACAGGTCTTAAAGTTGCCAAGGTTGGAGACCCCTGCAGTAGGGCATAAAATGTATAAGATTGCACTGTATGAGAGTTCTTATAATGGATTGTTCCTTCTCTCCTGCTTTTGTGAGCATCTACAGATGCTCTTGAATCAATATTAGTATGAATGACAAAAGTAGTTTTAAGATCCAAAGTGGGTCGGTCAATGGGAACAGAGGTTTAGCCTTGTGAGATTTTGGATGGAATTCTTCTGGTCCGAAAGCTCAAAAGACTAAACCTCTGGTCCTAGTGACCAGCCCAGATTGGATCCTGCAGCATTAGGATGCTAATATATTCACCATTATTCATGAGAAAAGTAGTTTTTTAACACTATGGTGGGCAGTTCAGTTCTTCTTCAAATAAATTTCAGAATAAATGTACTAATCTTTTATCTTCAGATCCCGGATTCTAATTTGGTGCTTAACTGGACCATGTTGACTTTATATATAAACTTGCATTGATTTTGCAGTTGTGCACTTGCTGTAATCTGAAACCAAATGCAAAAGTATACTTGTAGAGCCAAAAACATTTTAAAAAGGGGAGCGAGGGAATAACGATGCAGAATAGCCCCTCATTTTAAAGAACAAAATCAGAATCTATAGGAAAGTTTGGCTATAATAAACTCTAGTCCTGCTTCTTGAAGTTGTAGAAATCTTCTCTGTTCTGGAGTGCTTGTTCTTCTCATCTTTTTTCAGAATACCAAAATGTATTATATCCCCAGTGTTTGTCTAACTTGTGCTATATTTATTACATATACTAAGGCTATTCCACTGAGCAATACAATGGACATTAAAGTACCAACTGCATATTTCATGTGTATTTTATATTATTACATTCTCTTTATAGGGCAGCGACATCAACTGCCACGGACTCATCAATCCACATAAAATTGGGTCACAAAGCTATGCTGCATCATTTCAGAAAGAAAACTTCAAAGATTTGAAAGAATTGGTGAGTTAAAGGCATAGCTCCAATATCAAGACCTAATGTCAGATCTGGAAGCCCTTCTTTCTACTTTTGTGCCCTCAGGCTTCAGGCCTACCACAAATTCTACTGTGGGAAAATGGGAAGGGGGGATTGTATAGAGTGAAAAAGATATGTAGTCAAAATAGAATTCTTTTAGAAAGTCAAGGCCAATGTGCCCTGCAGCTGTGCTGAGAAGAATGAGGAGGTATCTTCTGTTCCGAAGGGTACCTGATTGGTTTGTGTGATGGACATGTGGATGAGGGGCAAGGACTTGAACTTTCTCTTGGGTGAGGAAAACTTGGAAGCTCTCAGATTCGGGTTTTCCCAAATGTGCCAATATGATATCTCTAATAAAAATTAGCTTTGAGGATACTCAAGCCTCGGAGTTTGATTTTGTTGGGGGTGTTACTTGGAACCCTGAAACCTAAGTTCTTATGAATTGCCCCGGAATAGTGATGGACAATCCCAATTGACAAAATAGAAGTTCTTCTCTTGTTATGGTTCCCAGCTAAGTCTTCCCTGTATGAGCAGGCTCTAATGGGACTTGCTACAATTGTCCAATGGTCTACTTCAACAGGAAGGTGGATTACCTGAATTTCAGGGTCTTGGGATTTAAGCCATAAAATGGAAAAAACCTGATGGCGGCAGTCTAAATGCAGCTACACACATAAGAAAAAGAAGGCTCTAAATCAATGTTTCTCAACCTTGGAAGCTTGAAGATGGGTAGACTTCAACTCCCAGAATCCCCCAGCCAATGCTGCTGGCTAGGGCATTCTGGGAGTTGAAGTCCACCCATCTTCAAGCCACCAAGGTTGAGAAACACTGCTCTAAATGGAAGCTGAGATCAGGTGAAGAGAAATGTGAAGTACATTATTTTTATATCATCATATTTTAAAATAATAAACAACAATTTTTGATGTTTTCTTATCTGAAAGAACTGCAAGAACGTTCGATGTAATACGATCACGTGCATGTTAAAAGATATATCCCTGAAACCTGAAAATTATGTTAATATTTCGACTAGAATCTGGAATGGAACATTTGCAACTGTAAGTAATGTATGAGTTTTATTCTATTACCAGCCTCTGGATATTTAAGAAATTGGGGGCGGGGGGGGAGGAGCCCCACTCTTTCCTTTTATTTTACAAAATATAGGAAAGATGCATTATAAGCTATTGAAATAAAATGCAAGACATATCAATTTTATAGGGAAAATGCAGAGCTGCAATTTCACTGTGTATTTTTTCATTTTCCTAAGTAAATATGAAACTTAAAAAACTGAAAGTACAAAAAAAGGGGGCAATTAACTTTTCTTCCTACTTCTTTTTTTTACTATAATCCCTATAGTAAAGTTTTTATAAAGGGAAAAAAACAATTCTATTGATACCAAATTTGTCTTAAAAAAATGAACATGTCTACGTGAGGGTGAGTTCAGAGGTGAGTAGATAAGAGGATTTGAACCTCCCAGGCTTATCTGTGGCAGTTGCAACCCTATTTGATTACTTGTAGAAAAGCATCGGTGTGTTACATTTACAGATAGATTTATTTGGCTTGTGCAATCCTTCCAAAGAAATGCTTAAGTACACCAGGGAGTGGCTATGGAGCATTTCATTAGGAATGATTAAAGCAGCCATGCTCTTCTCTGGCACATGGGCTGCTTCAGAATCCTCTCCTAGCCACCTTTGCACGGGGGTGCATGATGCCACATCCCTTAAAAGAACTGCCTCTGCAGATGCTCATATTCAAAAAATAGCTAAAGCAGTTTCCGGGCAGCTGAATCAGTCTGGAAAAAGACACAGCTGCTTTAATTGTTCAAAAGTAATTTCCCAACAAACTCTCAAACATTCCAAAGGACACCTTTCAAAAGATTTGCACAATCTTAATACTGAAGAAGTATGGCACTTAGTCACACATGAAACAGGATGGGACCCTAGAATGTAGCCTTGGTTTCCTGGGTTTTATTACAGACTAAAGGTTGCTTTCACTTTGTAAAGGAACCTGCCTAACAGGCACTCTAGGAATACAAAGTTAACAATTTAGAGATAAGGATTCTGGCCCAGCTCCCAAGTAGATATTTATTTAAATGTAATAAAATAATTGCAATTCATTTCAAACTGGCCAGATTACAATGAAACAGCGCCCCTACAAGCTCGATCTTTGTCCAGTTGCTGAAGTTCTTTCTTTCATAGCTTTTAAAAGTTTTAAAAGGTAAAGGTTCCTTTCGCACATATGTGCTAGTTGTTCCCGACTCTAGGGGGTGGTGCTCATCTCCGTTTCAAAGCCGAACAGCCAGAGCTGTCCGAAGACGTCTCCGTGGTCATGTGGCCGGCATGATTAAATGCCAAAGGCGCACGGAACGCTGTTACCTTCCCACCAAAGGTGGTCCCTATTTTTTCTACTTGCATTTTTTACGTGCTTTCGAACTGCTAGGTTGGCAGCAGCTGGGACAAGTAACAGGAGCTCACTCCGTTACATGGCACTAGGGATTCCAACTGCTGACCTTTCAATCGACAAGCTCAGCATCTTAGCCACTGAGCCATTGTGTCCCTTTTAACCACCCTAAGCACACTCTATTTCCCTTTCTACTATATATCGCAACGAGGCAAAGAAAAAAGTTAACAGTTTTTCCTTAAGCTTACTGAGACACAATTTTGGGGTTGGTGGTTATAAAACAAGAAGGACGAGGATTTTAAATGCAACTGTATGCATACCTGTTCAAACATATTGAAATTAATGGTGTTGCAATTTTAAATACATGAAGAATATGATAAAGAACATGAATGAGCTTCCTATTGATTTAGTCCTGTGCACATTTATTCAGCAAGAATTTAATTGGGAGGATGCTGAAAATTTCATCTTAACACAAAAAGTTAGATCAACAATCTTTCATTAAAACTATGGAAGATAGTTGTGAGCAGAAGATGTTCTAAATGACAAACTGTTTTAAATGCACTTGAAACCTTAAATCAGGGGTGTCCAACCTTGGCAACTTTAAGACTTTTGGTATTCTTTCTACTCCAGTGGTAGGTTTCAAAATTTTTTACTACCGGTTCTGTGGGTGTGGCATAGCTTGGTGGGCATGGCAGGGGAAGGATACTGCAAAATCCCCATTTCCTCCCGATTAGCTGGGACTTGGGAGACAGAGAATAGATGGGGCGGGGCCAGCCAGAATTTTTACTACCGGTTCTCCTAACTACTCAAAATTTCCGCTACCGATTCTCCAGAACTGGTCAGAACCTGCTGAAACCCACCTCTCTTCTACTCCCAGAATTCCCCAGCCTGGGGAATTCTGGGGGTTGAAGTCCACAAGTCTTTTTTTAAAAATATTTTTATTAATAATACAAAATTAAAACAATATTGGACATAGATATGACATCACTGGTTCCAAACATCTTCCGTCACTTTACAGTAATATTAGTACTCATATAAACATATAGTTTTTAAGCTTTGTTCACTATTTAAGCATAATATGATATGATATTAATACTTTCCCCCTTATTTCTGTATATTTATTTATCTCTTAAACATACATTTATCTATAATATCTATATTTTTGTTCTAAAACTATACATTACACTATACAAGTCCACAAGTCTTAAAGTTGTCTAGGTTGGACACCCCTGCCTTAAATACTTTAAATATTTGATGAAATGTAATTTTTTTTAAAAAAAAATTGTAAAGTACTATATATAAAAATATATTTTTCTGTTGCAGTCAGCCTTCCAGAAAATAGAATTATCTGCAAGCGCCGAAATTGACACCCAAGATTCCGAGTTGTTTATAACAGGAGAAAGCACTTTATCTGTGAGTGTGGCTTTATGTTTCTAGGGTTACTCTGCTAAATTTCTTTTTGAAGTTTTAATGCTAAAAGGCTGCAGCCAAGAATCATCCTGTTAGACAACTTAATCCCAGGCTACCCTTAGGTGAAACTAATTCGTGCTGGAACAGAGAGGGTTTCATTGAACTGCTTTTCTGTGTTGTATGAATCTGTCCTTTTAACCCTATACTTTGCAATCCATGGTTTTGAAATTGCTCAGATTATTTTCTTTCTTTTTATAGTAATTTTATTAAAAGTTACAATTAAAAAGATAAAACCTAAAGCAAACTAAAAGAATAAAAAAGGAAGTCCTTAAAAAGGTATTAAAGAAAACAGAAAGAAAATTAGGAAAAAAAATGAATATAGTAAAGAAAAAGAAAATAAATATTTAAGAAATAGCAATAGCACTTAGACTTATATACCGCTTCACAGTGCTTTACAGCCCTCTCTAAGCAGTTTACAGAGTCAGCCTATTGCCCCCAACAATCTGGGTCCTCAAGGACTGGCCAAAAGTCTTTTGTATAGCACAGTTGTAACTTCAAATGTTTGCTGAAAAATGGTCACTAAGCGAGCACTGTGTATGGTTGTGTCCATGCAATCATATAAACTCAAAGGAGATATTCCCTAATCTTTTCCTGTTATCTTGCTGTTTGATATAAATTAGAAAAGGACACCTGGTGGATTCATTTATTACACTGAAAACATTACCTAATTTGCTATCTGATTTGTCCATCATTCCTTCATAGGATTCAACAAAGAAGGTATATTTTTTTTTCATTTTGGCTAGTTTCTATAAACTATTTACTGTCTTAAGTCAAGGTTTCCCTAAATGGCTTATGATAACTTGTAATGAAATCACAGTGTGGCATTTAAATTAAACTAAAAACAATGCGATATAGACACATAAACAACAATAAGCAGAAAATTAACTTAAAATACCCAGTTGAGCATTAGGGTTGAATACATATTACGTTAAATCTCCAGGAAGAATAAAAAAACCATAAGCAAATTCTAAAATAGGAGATTACTACACCTTACACCCTTTAGGAAAATACCACCTTTGCTTTTGGGACAGATCTGGCACAACAGGGAACTATAGGTGGAAAAAAAGGGGGAAAAAATCATTTTCAACTTCCTATTTACCGTTAAAAGTCACTGTATGGAAGAGCAGAAGAAAATAACTGAAAAAAATAATCTTGTTTTAAAAACAAAGCTGTTTCACTGTTCCGAGTACTTTTGCTGACAAACAAAATTCACTTTATTTAATGAAATTTACACCTATATCTTGTTTGGGAATCTGAGCCTGTATCTTTCCATAAAATATATTAACTGCTGCCCTCCTGTGGACATTAGTGATGTTACATGTGGCAGGTCATATAAAATGTCCAATACGGTAGGTTTTTGCTACAGTGTATTTCCTTCATATTTCTCTATTAAGATTATTATTAATTGTCGCAGATAATGTACAGGAAGCCCTCTTTCACATAACACTGGAATGGACCCAGTGAGAAATAGCTAGCTTAATTGGTGCATTAATTCAGATTTCCTAATGGTAGATATTCACAGGACAGTCGTGGGAAATATCTGATTGATTTTGCTTTTGACTTGGCATTGTAGTTATTTTAATAGTCTGCTCCATAGTGAGATGTTTTTGGACTTTTCTTTAAAGCTTAGTCTTTCCATTAAACTAGCTACCATTTTCTTACTTGCTTTTGGGGGCAGGATTCTTTCAAGACGTCTCCTAATCCTAACAGGATTAAAATTTCCACCAATACATGAAACTGTTGTTCCAAGGATTTCTTCCCTCCCCCCAAATTTTATTGATTTTTTATTAATTACATCTCTTAGTTCTTAATAAATGTCATGTTGTCTCGGAATTTAATTTGCTTAATAATTCTGATTACATTCTTAATCTCCACCCCTTTTTTCCAACCACGATAAAATAGATTCCATGTTGGATAGTATTCTGTGTCTTCTTTCTGCTTAATTTTCAATGTCAATCTATCCATCTCTGCACTGTCTAGTATTTTTTTAATTATCACTTCATCTCGTGGTGTTTCTTCATTTTTCCAATATTGTGCGAATATAATCCTCACTACTGTTACAACATGTCATATTAAATACATACTTTTCTTATCTAATTTTTCTGATATTATACCTAATAAAAACAGTTCAGTTTTAAAATTAACATGACTCCCTATGTTTTTCCAAGGATCGCTATCACCAGTAGGATTTGTACTCAGACCCAGTTTCTTTGGGACAGTAATTTAAAGCAGGAATTTCCAGGAATTGAAGTCCATAAGTCTTAAAGTTGCCAAGTTGGACATCCCTGATTTAAAGCAGACTTTAAATTAAGAACATAAACTATTCTGATTTGCGGAATAGTTGGGGTTGGGATTGTACCTGGTGCCTCCTTTCAAAGCTCTTTTTGAAGTTTCCTCAAGGAGGAAAAAAAATACTCCTTGAATATTGTGGCTTCGCTCACTTCAGTGTTAAGATGTTATAAATTTGATGGAAGCATATTGATATACAGTAGATAGATGTACTACTGATGGAACTGTTCTCCATCTGACTAGGAAAAAATGTGCTCTGGGACATGGGGCATTGATTTCATCCTGGTAAGGAACTGGGCCATGGAAGTTAGCATTTCTCTGAACAAAAGAAGCTGCCTCATACTTGCTAGAACCAACAAAAGACTCAAGGAAGGCATCGGGTGTGGCACTCTTGATGCACACCATTCCTGTTATCAGGTGTCAACTCTGAAGCGAACCTGGCTGAAGCCATCTTGTGCTACCTCATAGTTGCCACAAACTCTGAGAGGGGGAAGGGAGGGGGAATAGATAGGCTGGCTAAATAGTCAAAACAAAATGTTTCCTTGTGGGAACCAAGGTCATCCCAACTGGTGCCAGTTGAAGGAGGAGAGGAGTGACCAAGCAGCCTACAAGCTACTTTCATCGGACAATGTGACCGGTGACATCTGGGGAGGGAAATATTTGCTCTTTTAATTAGGAGAAAAGCCACGGGAACTTTTAGAGTTGGTTTTCACTAGCTGTGCCGATTTGATGCCTCCAATAAACATATTCTTTGAGGAATCTACCTGCCTCAGAGTTCTGCTTTTAGTGAATCCGTTACTCAGAATGCTGACATCAGGACTTTCAGCCATGCTTCCTCAGTTGACAAAGTCTTCTCAACTGGGAGCCCAATTCTACCCATCACCAAATTTCTATTCTCACTTGCTTTTGCTTCATTAAGTGATCAGTTTTCAGCTTTGTGTTCTTGTGTATCAGCAGTAGCAGCAATGCTTAAGGAAAAAAATCCATAATTGCTGTCTTAAATAGGTTGGTTTATGATCCACTTTCTGACAAAAATGGCATTGACTATGTTTATAAGCTCCTTGCTTTGTCATTGATTTTTATTTTCATCTGAAATTAATTTCTGTGAACATCTTCTAGGGCCTTTCTTTCCTTGTAGTGAATTGTTTCTTGTTCTCTACCATTTGCTCTCCTGTTGAAGGTTGTGACCTTTTTTTTTCTTTTAAGCTTTCCTTATGCCTGTTTTCCCTGTTATTCTGGAAGTCTTTTGATGAGTTGGGGCGTTATAAATGCTTTTTGTCTTTGCCTTTTGCAGTTGGTAGCTTACTGGCAGATCTGACTGTTACTTCATCCAAACTTTCTTCTTTGACTTGACACTGGTCTGTTAGGTTGTATTTCTCTTTCTATAATGGTCTTTTCAAAATAGATCATTATAGTTGCAGTTGGCCCTGCTCAGAAGACTGCAGCATGTAGTGTGATCTCATGAAAACAGTTCTGCAAAAGCAAGTCATAGGAATACATACTACCCTAGAGAGCATTTCTGAAGCCAGTGTTGTTTTTAAACATGTATTTATAATCAGCTTCAATTATAGCAATAGCACTTAGACTTATATACCGTTTTCCAGTTCTTTGCAGCCCTCTCTAAGCGGTTTACAGAATCGCATATTGCCCCCAATAATCTGGGTCCTCATTTTACCGACCATGGAAGGCTGAATCAACCTTGAGCCTGGTGAGATTTGAACTGCCAAATTGCAGGCAGCCAGCAGAAGTAGCCTGCAGTACTGCATTCTAACCTCTGCACCACCGTGGCTCATTTATGGAAAATTCTAGGTTTTGGAGAAGAAAGGAAATGAAAGAGGAAGACAAATTCTATTTCACAATGCCATACTTACTTCCTTAGTTCAGCTATTTTGTCTTTTGGGAAGAATGACTATCTGAAAAATTGAACTGAAAGAGAGGGAATCCTACCATTCTGAAATTCCTAACTCTAGAATGAAAATGTATCTGAATATTGAGACAAGAAATGAGTGGATTTGCTCATTCTTATACAGTTTAATATGACCACAGTAATTAATGTGCTATTAGCTAATATTTAAAGAATACGTGCAACATGGATATTATCATTTTTAATGAAAACGACCACTTTCATCTTTGATATAACTGTTTTGTTTTGTTTTTAGATTCCAATTACAATAATCAAATCTGATGAGAAAGCAGAAATACCCATTGGAATTATAATAGCAAGTGTCCTTATCGGTCTTCTCTTGCTAATCATTCTTATTGCTGTTTTATGGAAAGTAAGTAAAGGTTTAGAAGTGTAAAAGTTAATTAAATGAAAGATTTCTTCTTATATAGTTGAAAGTATTACTTAAAGATTGGGCAACCTGAATCCTCCGGTTAAATTTATATTTACCGAGAAAGAAATAAAGGGAGACTAGTATAGATCTATTTCAAGCTATTTAGCTCTCGTCAGATAGATCTATACTAGTCTCCCTCTATTCCTTTGTTAGTAAAGTTAAATTTAACACAAAATAGTTTGTTGTGAAAGCAACTGCCTGTGAAGGATTGGAGCTGAAAGGTGAAAGTGGAAGCAGTATGCTCTGTCCCGTATTTGGGTAGACCAGGTTGCCCTGATAAAAAACACTTAATCCTCCCAGGTTATGCATGGTTTTTCAGTCCCTAGCATTCTCACATCTTACAATTATTAATGTTGGTACACAATTTGATAGCACTTCTGAATGTAAGTGTAAGGATAAGTTTAAGGAAAATAAGAAAATGAAAGAATTCCCTTTCCAAATGCTGCCTTTAAGGGGGAAAAAATCTGATAAAGGGAGGTTCTGCAATGAGAGTGATATACACACACATACACACTCAACACAAAACACAAAACACAAACACTTTCCATCACCCGCCCATCCATGTGGCCTACCACACCGAGTAATATTACCTTGTCCAACTTCACTAACAACCATGTAAAATTCTTGAATAGCGTCCTACTGAAACAAATATTTTGAGTTTTCAAAAATACCTTTAAGTGGTGAGAATTAATAATGTCAGTCTGTAGAGATTCTCAGTCATCCAGGTCATGGTTGTCCCAAAGGTGCTTTTTCAGGAGGCAACTGGATTTTCTTGTTTTTTGTTTGAAGACGTTTCGCTTGTCATCCAAGAAGCTTCTTCAGCTCTGACAGGACAGTGGGGAATGGAAGGGTTTATACCCCTTGTAGACAGCTGGTCATTCTCATTCTTTTTGCGGGTTGTTAAGGTCACCTGGAGATTTATCTGTGTCATCAGGGTCACCTGAGTTGTACAAATTGGTGTGGAGCCTTCTTGGAATTATTGAAAGGATTGTGTTGTCCCTTGCATTCCCCACTGTCCTGTCAGAGCTGAAGAAGCTTCTTGGATGACAAGCGAAACGTCTTAAAAGAAAAAAACAAAGTCCAGAAAAAGCATCTTTGGACAATGATGTCAGAGAATGTTTGAATTTAAGATACAAACTCTTAAGCAATTCTGACTTATATTGAGGTGCCCAATTAATGAAGCCATGTTCTTCATTAATTAAACACTTCATTTGATGTGTAATCACTGCCACAAGGCATATCATTTCTTAGTTCATGCTCAGAAGTAAGTCAGTTTGAATTAGAACTCCTCCCCCCCAAAAAAAATGCTTTGAAGGTCTGCTGATTTTCATCTATTAAATACACATACTGTACTATAATGTCTAATGCTCATTTAAGATATATTTAGGTTTTATGTTTAACTGAATTTAGGATTATGTGCATATATATACTGCTTATTTGATGTAGTCCATCCAGTGGAGCACTTGCAGTAAATGCAGTAAGTTACATTCAGTCCTAGAACTCAGTTTTCATACTTATTTAGGGAAGGAAGATAAGCTCATCAAACATAGGATAGATTTATCTGCTTGTGGGACCCTAGACTGTTGCTTCTTGACTTTCACAATTTGAAGATGTATGGACCTCAAGTCCCAGAATTCCACACCCAACACTGGCAGGAAATTTCTGGAAATTGAAATCCACAGATCTTAAAATTGCTGAAGTTATGAAACATTGCCTAGACTTTTAACAGATCTTAGTTTAGCAGCCCTCAGAGGTTGACCATCTACAGCAGGGGTGTCTAACTCAAGGCCCAGGCGTTGGATCTGGCCCACAGGGCCACCCTGGAAACAGCAAAGGACTGGCTCGCGATGCCTCTGCCAGTGAAAACAGAGCTCAGGAGGGCCGCACATGGTCCTCCCGAGCTCCGTTTTCACTGGCAGAGCGTTGCAGGAGGCCATCGCAGCTGAAAACGGAGTTTGGGAGCCTGTTTTCACTGGCGTTCAGCTGGCCACACCCACCCTGGCCGCGCCCACCCCCAGCCACCTGAGGTCAAACACAATCCTGATGCAGCCCTCAATGAAATAAGACTTTGACACCCCTGGTCTACAGTTAAGATTTGTCAAATTTAGATTAAAGGGCAGACAACAACCTATTACTAAAAATCAAAGTTGAAGAACAATAGAAACTGTGGATCCTATCCTTGATGCTACATTCTAGCATTAAATAATACCAAATATAAATCTTCTCAAAAAATTTCTTGCAGCTTGGTTTCTTCAAGAGAAAATACAAGAAAATGGGAACAGATTTGGAAGATATGGATGAGATTACGGGACTTACTAAAGACAGAGAATAAACAGAGCAGAAATATTCCCGAATGTATAAATCTTGAGCCACAAACAGTGTTTCCAATCCACACTGTTTAATTTCTACGAGTGCCTTATTAAAAGGTTTTACGTTTTTTATAAGTGAAAATATTATACATATAACTGCTGGTCGGTTTGGGCTTTTGTTTACAGTTGTATAAAGATTTTGTTTTTATATTTTGTACTGTTAATAATGGATCCTCTAAATTGGCAGGGCCAGAACTAATGCTGAAATCTATCAGGAATACTGCTTTGTATCCTTGATAAGGGTACATGTGGAATAGTTTGTCTTTATTTACCAGTATAACAGGACCTGTTATTTTCATCCTGTCCTTGAACAGTGCTAGCTCCTCACAATCGGTATCTGGATTCAGATATTACATTAAACCATAAATTGGTTGGTTTACTTGTGACTAAATATGACATGTGAACAGGAACATTGTAGCTTAGCACAGAATTGCTCAAGAGTATACAACTATTTGTATCTTATTGTGGCACCAAAGAAAGGATAGCACTTATTAGTTTAGGCATTGTCTAAAAAAGCTGGAGATGTGATTGCGAAGATTGCTGTGTTAGAGCAATATTGTATGTCATGTTAAGAGCATGACATGGCCTAGTACTGGTTGCGTACCCAAACTGTAACAATAAACTGTACATTAAGAATAGACATTCTAAAATCATGTAGAAACATTCATGAATCATTCATTCTGATTGATTTTTATTATACTGGTTAACCTTTGTTAATTATTGAATACTGATTTTATTTTAAGTGCTATATTGATTTAAGGACATCCACATGCAATACTAATCAAACGTCACTTTGAAATTTTTAATTCAGTTTTATACAACATGTAAAGCTCTTATGCCTTTTTAGCTCTTTTTTCTAGGTGGTGCTTCAAGAGCTTATTTCAAATAAGCAAATAAACAATAAAAGGAAACTCGATTTCATTTCAGGGTTTTAAGGAGCAGTCAGGTTTTCTGAAGCAGTAAATGTTATAATTTAGATACCAGCTTCCAGAACCCTCAATGTATACTAGCCAAAAAACAAAACAAAACCAGAGTTTATGTCTCCATCACAAAACTGTTAAAGATTTAATTAGATTTAAGGACATTTATGAACCAAATGAAATGGAGAACAGATTGGCTGGCCTTATTTTACAATTCTTGGTGTAAAACAGTATTTGTAAAGGACTAAGGTACTAATTTCTGAACATTCTGTCTTCCAATAATTTGTGTTTTATTCCAGGAGACATGGATTAACCATTCCATAAAACTAGTAGCAACTACAGTTGCTACTACCGTACAATTCCTCCCTTAGCAACTACAATTGAGACTGGCAACTTGGTTGTTAAGCAGAGTGGTTACCAAGTTAAAAATTACATGACCATGACTGTGCTTTTGATTGAGAGAGAGAGAGAGTGAGTATCACAAATGTGATGTTTGGTGTAAAGTTATGTTTCCAGCAAGGTCATAACTGCAAACAGTAGCTGCTTGAGGAAGTTGCTAAGCAAGGACTACTAGTAATTTTCTAGATCTTTTCAGAATTAAAAAAAAAATGTTTAATTTTTAAAAAAAACAATTCAGTATTAATTTATCACTTAATTTATCCCTTAATTAATTTATGTTTCACCAATTGTTCTTTTCATTACACTTTTCAAGATGGCAAATCTGTGGGTTTTTTTTTTAAAAATGTGTTTTTTATAAGATTCCAAAGAGCATTACTTTAATGGGATTTGAAGCATATTAAGCTTTCAGAACAGAAATAGCTGGATTTTTTTTATTAGATGTTGCAGAAGCAAGAGACAAGTATTCTTGACAACAGGAGCAAATTGTATGTTTAATTTCCTCTTGCATATCTGGAGTGTTGTGCAAATTCTTTCACTCTTGTTTACAATGTTATTTATCCATTAAGTTTGTTCTTGACTATATTGCATGTACTTAAAATCTTCAAACCCATCCTTCGGAACCCATTGCATTATTCTTTAAGGGGAATATTTTAATTTTGGAATTGGAATGTTCTGATGGGAAATTAGGTTATTCTGCCTAGCTGCAGCCATTTATACCACTGTTTCTGCATTCTTGACTAATATCAGAAGCATATATGCTCCTATCACTTATACCCTTACAGCAGTGGTGGGATTCAAGTAATTTAACAACCGGTTCTCTGCCCTAAAGATTTCTTCCAACAACTAGTTTGCCAAACTGCCCAGAAAATTAACAACCGGTTCTCCCGAAGTGGTGCGAACTGGCTGAATCCCCTCACTGCCTTACACAGCAGTAAACTCTTAATGACTAGAGTAAGGCATAACTTCTGAATGACTCAAGTCCGTAACACTGGAAGATACAGACTTTTACCTGTAATATATTACCTCTGTTGAAATTAACTAATAAATTATTATCTTTACTTTCGTTTAACACTGAAATACCAGGACTCTTTTTTTAAATTTCAGTTTATGTTTGCATGGGGAAGAAAAACAGCTGAGTTCCCCTTCAGCCTAACATAATTAACTATAAGTCTGATTCATCATGTCTCTACACATCCCAACAGCATTAATATAAATGTTCCTGATGAATTTTAATTACCATTCTGCTCCAGTCAAGCGTTTTCATTGCTGTTGGATATGATGTAGAAAATATTGCTTTCTGTAAGATGAATGGATATTCACGCCAGGCACAAAAATGGTACATGTTTTTACTCCTAGAATCAAGTTTCCTAGGATAAGGCAGGCAAAAATGTAAGCAGTTTATGTGAACCTAACTGCTATGGTTAATTTAAAGTTCAAGCACATTGATTCAATAAATGTTTGTGCTCTTTTATAATATTGTAGAATGTATGTAACAATTTTGTACTTTTCTGTATTTTTTTATTTTCGTTAAAAAAAAAAAAGCAATTCAGTAAATAGGGGTATTGTACAGACAAAGCCTTTTATGTATATTTTGCACTTTGTACCAAAACAAATGAATATACTGAAGCTTGTGTTCTAAAGAGATGAATCCTGTGGAATAAATTTTGAAACCATCCCACTGTAGACTTTCATTGCTGAATTATGTTGTCTGGAAAGCTAGCTAATACAGACAGAAGTATATTGTTAGATCATCTACCTATCTGTACTTTGTTTCTCTTTGTTTTATTGGGCATGCATTTTAGGAGATACAGAACAGTCAGGGAACTTCAGGGCATTATTTGGTTCAAAAATTTGGATTACATTTGTTTGTATGGGAATAAGCAGCATTTGCAAAAATACACTTCATAAATTCGTTGTTGCTGGTCTTTTATATTCTCCTAATGCAGTTTCCTGCTAAGAAAGCCAGATTGGTGTAGTACAGCGCTGTCAAACTCCCAACCAGTGGGCCGGATGCGTCACGCTCTGGCCACATGCACGCCCGTTTTAGCGAAGGGGGGGGAGTCCTGATATGTCATGTGACGCCGCTATGACAATGTGAGTTTGACACCTGTGGTGTAGTGGTTAAGGCATTAAGTTAGGAACTGGGAGACTCTTGAGTTCTAGTTCTGCCTTAGCACAAAGCCAGCAGGGTAACCTTGGGCCAGTCACTATCTTTCATCCCTAGGAAGGACACAATAGCAAAACCACTTCTGAAATCTTAAATTCAGACCTACCCAGGCAGTCACCAGGAATCAACATGGACTCAAAGGTGCCAAAACAGCAACAAAGTTTACGTTTGTGTAGAATATACAATGCACATTCTCTTACCTAGCTTTGGTTCATGAGAGCACATGGATGTACAAGTCCTTGACTTACAATCACAACGGGGAATCTAAATTGCCATTGCTAAGCAATATAGTTGTTAAGCTGTGCCCAATTTTATGACCTTTTTTGCCATGGTTGTTAAGCAAATCACTGCAGTTAAATGAATCGTGCAGTCATTAAGTGAATCCAAATTTTCCACTGACTTTGCTTGTCAGTAGTTGGCCAGGAACGTCACAAATGGTGATCAAATGACCCCGGGATACAGCAACTTCATAAATGCCTGCTGGTTGCCAAGTGTGGGGATTTTGGCCACATGACAATCGTGAGTTGACTCGTTGCAAATCACTTTTTTCAGTGCCACTGTAACCTCGAGCAGTTGATAAATGAATGATTCTAAGTCAAATGGTTTTAATTTTTTAATTCAATTTTATGATGACTGGGCAAATCACCTAAATTTATGATAGGGAGCAAAAGTAACACACATTTAACAAACATCACAATGCTTCAGCTACTACCCAGAATTTGGAGATACTCAAAACATCAATTTGATCTGAAAGAATAAACAGACAATGATTACAAAGAAGCCCGTGAAAGCAATAATATTCCTAAATAACTGGGATAAATGATTTCATTATCTCATTCCATTTCAAAGTTGGAGAATCATAATTCATACAAGTTCAATTTTGGAATACAATTCTATTTTTGAAATGGCTTTAAGGATTAAGGCTTATTAACACAGAGAAAGAAATCTAAAGATTGTATATTTTAAACAGTTGGCCATGATGCAAATACTTCCTGTATCTCTAAAAATGATCTACCAAAAACTGAATTGAATTTCCCAGTTCAGTTTAACACCCTGAAGCAGCTTTTCTTCTGCTTTCTTTTTTGGCACATTAATATTTTATTTTTCTCCCTTGATCCAAAAGCACTCCTTATTTTCTTTCCAAGAAGAGTCCTCTTCATATACCTCCTGTAAGCAAAGAACATCATGGGTAAGAGAAATTGTGTTACAAAGCTGACTCTTTTATCTGAGGTGGCGCATGGTTAGAGTGCAGTACTACAGGCTACTTCTGCTGACTGCCTGCAATTTTGGCAGTTCGAATCTCACCAGGCTCAAGGTTGACTCAGCCTTCCATCCTTCCGAGGTGGGTAAAATGAGAACCCAGATTGTTGGAGGCAATAGGCTAACTCTGTAAACCACTTGGACAGGGCTGTAAAGCACTGTGAAGCGGTATGTAAGTCTAAGTGCGGTTGCTATCTACATTTTTTTCCCTAGCTTACTGTCAGGGCTGAATTAAAATATGAAAAAAAATGTAGATACAATTTAGGAATAAGCAAGATATTTTCCAAAAGAGCCTTGACATTTTAACATACTAGATGCACGTATGTTCTCTGTGCATAAAGCCCCCTGTTGTAGAAACAGCTTGAGTACCAGTCTGATGAGATAGGAAAAAGTTGGCATTTGTGTCCCATGCAGACTTTCTTTCCTGAGGCCCAAGCAACACGTTTTTGTTTGTTTTTAAGTGTATCAATTCTCTGGATCAAATATATAAACATCTATAGACTGCTCAACATCAATCCAGGGGGATATCTCCAAATGATCAGTAGAAAGTATGCACATTATAGAGGAACACAAATTCAAAATACTGGCTTTGGCTGGCAAGGACGTTTGCACCTGCTCTCCTCTTAAATGGATGAAGGTTATTTAGACCAATATTTCTAACCTTAGCAACTATAAGATGTGTGGACTTCAACTCCCAGAATTTCCCAGCCAGCAAGCTGGCTGCAGAATTCTGAAACATAAAATCCACATGTAGTTGATATAGTTGAGAAACACTGGTTCAGACCAGCCACTGGTTAGACTTAAGTTGCGAGAGAGGGCTGTTTTAAATATTATTTTCTCTAAGATGAATGGATATTCACATCAGGCACAAAAATGGTACACATTTTTACTACTAGAATCAAGTTTCATAGAACAAGGCTGGCAAAACTGTAATGTAATGTAATGTAGTGTAATGTAATGGATAGGATAGGGTAGGGTAGGGTAGGGTAGGAGTAGGAGTAGGAGTAGGAGTAGGAGTAGAATAGGAGAACAGAGACTAGACTAGAATAGAACAGGAGTAGGAGTAATAGGAGACTAGAGACTAGACTAGACAGAATAGAATAGAATAGAATAGAATGGAATGGAATGGAATGGAATGGAATGGAATGGAATGGAATGGAATAGAATGGAATAGAATGGAATAGAATGGAGTAGGAGTAGAATAGGAGACTAGAGACTAGAAGACTAAAACAGAACAGAATGGATTAGGAGTAGGAGTAATAGGAGACTAGAGACTAGACTAGACTAGACAGAATAGAATAGAATAGAATAGAATGGAATGGAGTAGGAGTAGGAGTAGGAGTAGAATAGGAGACTAGAGACTAACTAGAATAAACTAAAATAGAATAGAATGGAGTAGGAGTAGGAGTAATAGAAAACTAGAGACTAGACTAGACTAGACTAGACTAGACTAGACTAGACTAGAATAGAATAGAATAGAATAGAATAGAATAGAATAGAATAATTCTTTATTGGCCAAATGTGATTGGACACACAAGAAATTTGTCTTTGATGCATAAAGCTCTAGTTAATTTAAAGTCCAAGTACATTGGTTCAATAAATAATAGTTTGTGCTCTTTTATAATATTGTAGAATATTACAAGAGTTCTTATAATATTATATTATAAGAATACTGTTTTAAATATCTGGTCCATTTTGAACCTCCATTTAGGAAATTAAAATTTTCCAATGTCAGAAAACAGCAGAGGAAGAAGAAACATCTACCATCGTGGGAGCCTGCCTTCAACTCTGCAGGGGGAAGCCACACCATGGCATAGGCATAGGCACAGGCCTCAAGGTGAGATGGGTGACAAACATATTTGATAAGAAATAAACGGGTTCTGGGAAACTGACCTGTGGACAATGTGATGTTCAGCACTGCACTCTTTTTCAAAACAAAAGTCCTTTAAGTTACGCACATACCTTTTTCCATATGGGGACAGTAGCTTTTAAAGTATTGATGCAATATTGCAAGGCATTGAGAGACTCTGCTCGATGAGGGGAGGAGATGGCTACAATCACGCTGGCTTCACTAATGGGAACCAAACTAAAGAGAATGTGAAAAGTAACATTAGCAGTGGCTTTTAGCCACATTAGTGTAATCTCTCAAGGACAAAAAAAAAAAGGTCTTGTTGACAACTACTTCACAGACATAGATAAACAAGAGGGGCTGTGTTCTAGGAAGATCAAATTAGAGAAGCCGAATGTCTCATGATTATGTGTTCCAAGGTAAGATTCAACAGGAAAACAAATTAAGGGGAACTAGAGAAGACAACATCTGCAGCAACAGCCTGATGCAATCATTTAGATCAGGGAGAGAAAAGCAGAGTTTTCTTTCCTAAGAGTTTCAAGGCAGAAATAATCCACCACCCCAAATAATTTTTTAGGGATATTCCAGAGGTCCTGTCAGTCATTATTCCATCCCTTATACAGGTAATCTTTGACGTACAACCACAATGGAGCTCAAAATTAAGATCCGAACATCAATAACACCAAAGAAAATCAACCTTTCGTAGATGGATGGCAACAGTGAGGCTAAGCGTAGCATTCAGAAAACATTCCTGGTCAGGAAAACAGAACTAAGTCAGGGAAGTGAGTGGCACAAGATCCAAAGGGGTGATGTATACATAAATATTTAACACTCCATGTTAATAGGAAGAAAAAAACGTATCTCTTAGCCATCATTGCTGAACAAAGTGTTTGCCTCATCTGAGAAACCAACCAATTTTTTTTTTTATCAAGTGGATGCACTTGAAAAGACAGAAGAGATGCCATTTAAAAAGTGAGCAGCTCTACTCTAAAATGGTTCTCAAATTTAGCTTACAATTCATCTATACGTATGATGGCGAACTTATGACACGTGTGCCAGAAGTGGCACACAAAGCCATCTCTCCGGGCACGCCAGCCGTCACCTGTTGCTCTTCCTGTTTTTCACATGCACGGAAGCTTCTGGAAACTGGAAGACCAGGTGACCTGCGCGCATGCGCACGTCGGAAACCAGAAGCTCAGCTCCGTGCCGGGGAACTTCTCTTCCAGTTTCTGGTGCTCCCCTGTGCACACACGTGCGCTCCCACTTTGGCACTCGGTGCCAAAAAGGTTCAGGAACACTGATCTATACTGTACATTCATTCCAGTTGGAATATTTTCCACCTCAACCTTTTTCTCCCTTGGACCACAACATAAGAAAGTCTAAATCTGAAGACAAGCTGCACCATTGCCAACGTTCAGAACAAACAAGGATCAGATCAGAGACTATACCTATCCTCAAATGTAACCCTTAATTTGAATGAGGAATTTGAATGAGGAATCAAGCAGGAAATGTCTGTCTGAGAGCTGCCGTAAGAGTAAGATAAAATTTAGTGCTATGAGGCCTCTTTCTTTTCTTTTTTCTTTTTCTTTTCTTTTTTTTTTTTTTTGGCTAGTCTAGTGAAGAGAAGGACCAGGGGAGACATGATAGCAGTGTTCCAATATTTGAGGGGCTGCCACAGAGAAGGGGTCAAGCTGTTTTCCAAAGCACCTGAAGGCCAGACAAGGAATAATGGATGGAAACTGACCAAGGAGAGATTCAGCCTAGAAATGAGGAGGAACTTTCTGACAGTGAGAACAATCAACCAATGGAACAGCTTGCCGTCAGAAGTTGTGGGAGCTTCATCACTGGAGACTTTCAAGAAAAGATTGGACTGCCATTTGTCAGAAATTGTGTAGGTATCCTGCTTGAGCTGGGGGTTGGACTAGATGACCTATAAGGTCCCTTCCAACTCTGTTAATCTAAATCCATATGGCCTCGTCCAGAAAGGAGGCTAAAATGCTTACCCATAAATCTGTCTCTATCAAATTCACAAGCACAAAATCTTAATCAATTAAAGCAGGAAGAGCGTATGCTTTGAGTGTATTTACCCAAGTCGATGATGTATTGCTATATGCTTCACGGAAGGCCATTTTACTCTAATATCTTTGCATATTTTCTTCGCTTCAGCTTCTGCCATTGTTGTGTAGGCTTCATATTCTAACTGTACGACTTTTTTCCCTTCAAAGTTATTCCTTGTGGTGCCTGAAACAAAAGGACAACCCTTAAAAGACATTCTGGGCTGGTGAGAAGATTAGCTTGACAGAAGCTTTAACAATAAGAAATTAAGAGTTTCTCTTTATGCTAAGCATGGTTTTGCCCATGCTCTGAATAAGCCCCAATAAGCTAGTTTCTGCCTAACATTTTGCTGTGGGCTACAGACCTGCAATGAGTTCACACATCTCTCAACCACATTAAGGTTTGGCCACAGATTCTCTAACAGTTACACATTCTCCAATAATACCAGTTATTAATAGGGGCCAAGCTCAACAATGACATACTTGCTGTGTATATACAAAAAGGCTTAAATTTAATTTCTAGCGTTGTATTTATTAATAAATGAATTACATATAATAAATAAATATTTATTTACTAAAAAGGATAGATGGGGCACTACTAGGCTAAATGTGTTCCACTTCAATGTTTTCATGTGTTGTGTGAATTCTCAAGGACTTATCAGATAACTGAGATTAGTACAAGCGCTTCTCAAACTAGTCTTCCATATTTTTATTTTAGGGATGCAACACACTGCTGTAACTGTTGCAATCTTCCCCCTTAAAAAAAACCAACTCAGACCATTGAAGTTAGTTCAGGCATGCAAACTTGTTCTAACACAACTTTGCAGGCTGAACCCTCCATTCTTTTCAAGATAAGATGCGCTACATGTCATCCGAGATCTCTCAAACCAACCATCATCATCATCTTTCTTTTAACAATCCCATAATTCCTTGCGGGGTGGAGTCTGGTCAACTGAATGGAGCTAGCAGAATGTTTTCATGGCCGGATGCCCTTCCTGTCACCAATGCGGAGTTTTGTTCAGCAAATATATTCTCAGTGTGCCCAGAGAGAGAAATACCTGTTTCTACCTAGGATCGAACTCACAGCCTCCTGATTATGAGGCGAGAGTGCCACCTCTAGGGCACTGCACCACTTTTTCTCTCAAACCAACCATATGCATGTGTAATCAAGGTGAAGCCTTCAAAAGCACATAACTCATGTGCAGCATCAAGACTTGTTTTGGGTATATGGATGCCCCAAAGGCTCCAGGCTTTCCTGGCAGTGACAGTTCTCACAACTGCCAGAACTATAAATTCCATTCTATTTCTCTGTAAATGATTCCAATCCTCAAGATTAAGAACTTTTTTTTTCTTTAAGTTTGGATGTTTTTTCCTTGTTCTAAGCTCGGTCTAAAACAGCCTTGTTCCATTGGCTCCTACAACTGCTTATCTAACCTTCAATCTCCAAGTTCTTTTTTTTAAAAAAAAAATATGTGGGTTCAGTTCTGATTAAGAGTTTCATGTGTCAGACCTACCTACAAAGAAAGATACAGCTCCACAGCAGGGAGAAATGACCAGGGCTGCTACTTCATCTAATGAGAGCTTCTCAAACTTCAATTGAATCACATCCTTGGGTTCATCCTCAATTTCATTCATGATTTCTCTAGAAGTAAACGGTGATACAATGATTAATTTGCAAGTTTCTCCTATCCTGGCTATGGAGATTAAATTACATCACAGGTTACAAGCCGGATTACTGCCCTATTTGTTTATTCATTCATTTTTAATTCACCTTTATTATTTTTATGAATAACTCAAGGTGGTGAGCATAACTGATATTAATTTCATCCTAAGGCAGGACTAGACCCCTCCTGGTTTCTAGCCTGAAGCCTTAGCCACTATTTTAATTAATTAATTAACTAAATTAAATTAAATTACTTAATTTCTATTCCTCAAAGAAATATTATAGCCTCTTAACCAATGGATCCTATGGATCCTTTCTGGTCTGAGTTCAGATCAGGATCCTAATAAAGGAGAATATTTGTATCAGGGTTGAAATGCTCTCTGAACTTGCTTGTTTTCTTTTTCTTTCTTTCTTTCTTTCTTTCTTTCTTTCTTTCTTTCTTTCTTTCTTTCTTTCTTTCTTTCTTTTTTTTGCTTTAATTTATATGCCGCCCTTCTCCGGAGACTCAGGGCGGCTTACAATGCGTTAAGCAATAGCCTTCATACTTTTTGTATATTTATACAAAGTCAGCTTATTGCCCCCACAATCTGGGTCCTCATTTCACCTACCTTAGAAAGGATGGAAGGCTGAGTCAACCTTCAGCCTGGTAAGATTTGAACTTGCAGTAATTGCAAACAGCAGATGTTAATAACAGTGCTTTAGTCCACTGTACTACAGGCTCCTCTTTCTTGCTGGCATTTCATTACCCAAACTAGGTAACACCATCAGTGCTAGACACTGGGGTGGCATAAGGTCCAAAACGCTGTTTCCAAATTATTTTTTAAATGTACACTGTCATACTGTTCAATCTGGAGCCCTTCAGTTATGTTTTCCCTCCCGTCTTCTCTATATAATACAGCCAAAGATCATGTCTGGGAATTCTGGGAGTTATAGCCATGATCAGTTTGAGGTTATGGTTTAAGTTATTCTTCATGAATATATTTTCAATAAATGCCATTACAATGTTACTGCTTCATTTATGCAGCACGTTAGAACTGATGTCCAAAAGCTGCATCAGACCGTGCAGGAAAAGACATAGCTGCTTGAAGCACATTTTGGAGACCAAACTCAAAGCTTTCTAGAGAAATAACAGCTTGATATTCTCCTTCTTCTCCTTGTCCATCATCATCATCATCTTCCTTCCCATCATCAAGTTTCCAGATTCGATATTTTAACAAAACAAAACACCAACACATACCTGTGAGTATCTTTCTAGAGCTAACCTCCACTAAGAGGTGGGATGATGGCAACTTCGTCCCCTGTGTGGAGGATGAACTGCTGATCCCCAAGGGGTACGTACTCCTGACAAATGGCAAAGATAACTTGATCTTCGATATCGGCAAGACTGAAGGAAACATACAGTGATAAAAATTAATCATTGATCTGCTTCTGCAACTTTTTCTGCTCAATGTATTTTGGATTCTGCTCAATGAATTTTGAGGGTCTCACAAAATGCACATGGGAAGGGTCTCCATCCCCAAAATGGCTACTGAGTCAATTAAAACCAGTCACAAAGCTCCGATTTTAAAAAAAGACTGCTGGGGGATTGGCAACATTCCAAATTCATTCATTCATTCATTCTTGATTGATTCAATTCTATGTAGAAAGTCAGTTGAATAAGAGACATGGGGGGGGAGGTATGTCACCAGCCATTCGGGGGTTATGTGCCTTTGCAGGGTACCAGTGTACCAGTTGTGCTATTTCCTGGATCAGGAGGCTCTTTGGACAGTGACCCATGCTCTTGTCATCTCAAACCTCTTTAAGCTTCAGTTGGCCCACAGTTGCACAAGGAAAGACATGTTTGCCCATACTGCAGCTTTGCTCAGCAAGGCTGCATGGTCTGCCAGTTTGCTTCTTATGCCTTCCAGGTTCTGTCATCATCTACGGAACCCTATGTGGCCCAGGACCTGGCTATCTCCCATTGGGTTTGCCTGGTCAGTCTAAGATGACAAGGCTTTGGGTCTCTTCAATTAGACCAGGGGTCAGCAACCTGCGGCTCTGGAGCCACATGTGGCTCTTTCACCCCTCTGCTGTGGCTCTCTGTCAAGGATGACTACTTCTTGGTCACCATAGAAGATGACAATGGAGTGTCATGACATTAAAGTTGCAATTCTGTGTGTAAGAATTGCAAGAATTGCAAAACGCAAAGCCCCTTATTGTAAGAGCATGAGGAAAGCATCAATTACCGATACGCGTCACTGTACCTCAAATGCCTCTTGACAATTTCTCTCCACAGCTGCAGTGAGGTTATTCGTTGGGGTACAGAAATGTTCTCTGTACGCAGCCCTGCTAATTCAGCACTTCTGGCAAAATACAGCACTGTGACCTGTTTTCAAGAAGAAGGTAAAAACATTTAACGTTAAGCCCACCTCTGATTTAAGGCCATATGGATCTCGTTTGTATTCCATTGTAACTAAAATTAAATCGACACATTAAAGCTTCAGGTTTGGAACAACGGGTAAGTTAAAGTAATGGAACCATTCAAAACTACAAGGAACGGGTTTCTGAAATACAAGGAGAATAATATGCACCTGTATGTACCTTGTAAAAGGTATCCTGCCCCAATGAATTTAGGATAGGATAGGATAGGGTAGGTAGGGTAGGGTAGGGTAGGGTAGGGTAGGGTAGAATAGAATAGAATAGAATAGAATAGAATAGAATAGAATAGAATAGAATAGAATAGAATAGAATAGAATAGAATAATTTATTGCCAAGTGTAATTGGAATTTTTCTTTGGTTCATATGCTCTCAGTGTACATAAAAAGACAAGATACATTCGTCAAGAATCATAAGGTACAATACTTAATGATAATCATAGGATACAAATAAGCAATTAAATCATACTAGGAAACAATCAATATAAATCGTAAGGATACCAGCAACAAGGTTACATTCATACAGTCATAAGCGGGAGGAGATGGGTAATAGGAACGATGAGAAGACTAATAGTAATGTAATGCAGCCTTAGTGAATAGTCTGACAGTGTTGAGGGAATTATTTGTTTAGCAGAGTGATGGCGTTCGGGAAAAAGTGAATGTCCTCAAAAAAGGGTGCAATCACCGAAAAATGGAAGCAAAAATTTCAAGGACTTTTTGGGCACAGAGGTGACTATAATGTGAGAATGACTTTGGGAGAAGGACCTACAGTCTAAAACGGCGGTTAGACAAGAATGGGAATGGAGAAAGCATCTCAGAAAGGTTCCTCCCTACTTCCGTAGAAAGTAAAGACAAGGGAGGGGAGAAGTGCTTTCAGACCTGCAAGATTCTGTTAATGTCATCTTACAATAAAGGTTGTGTTAATATGCATTTTTTGGTGGTCTGGACTATTCTGATGCAGTAACGGTGACAGGAAGGAAGTGTTTAAAGCTCTGTTCCATATCTCCTAGAAGGCAAAGCATTTCAAAATTCGATTTGCAATTATTCTGTTTACATACAACTTAAGGTAGGGAGGTTAAAAAAGCCTAGTTATCAATCATAATCATTTACCTTCTCTTGATGGATACCTCTGATTTAGTGTATCATTGATATCCCACAGCTAGGGAGAGGGAACCTTCAAAATACTCCAGCTCCCATGAACTCCCAACTAATCAAAGGCAAAGGAGCTGAAGTACTCCCTCTTTGCTATTACAACCCTGGCAAGAACTAAAATTACTCCAGAAAAAAAAATGTGGTTCATCCTGGATGGGTACACAGGAGAGTTGTCAAACAAGTTTTAAACACTCTCTAGAGATTAGAAATGTAGAGATAAAATTACTTTCAAAAACTCCACACCGTTCTATTAGAATCAGAGTGAGACACCAAGGACTATAATTAGCTGCATTCAAAACTAGAATAATGAGTCAAAAGAAAAGTGCTCAGAACTACAAGCGCTTATGAAATAAATTCATGGGTACTTCAACATTTCAAAATATAGGCAGACAATGCAGTCAGTGGCCTCCAAAGTGGGGATATACAAGAAATATTAGAAGCTCTGTTATTCGCCTAATCCCCCCCCCACCCTAAATTGAATTAAGAAGCTACAGAATCCACAGAATATATATCTCTATATGCATAGGTGGTAAAATGTACATATTAGTAAACTGGTACAGGCACATAATGTATAAGAAATCATACAAAAAATGCATGTTCAGCATTTTTACTAATAAGACAGACAGACTTCAGAGGATAATTAGAACTGCAGAAAAAGCAATTGCTACCAACCTGCCTTCCACTGAGGACCTGTATACTGCACGAGTCAATATTGTGAAAATATTTACAGACCCCTCGCATCCTGGACATAAACTGTTTCAACTCCTACCCTCAAAACGACGCTATAGAGCACTGTACACCAGAACAACTAGACACAAGAACAGTTTTTTTCCCAAATGCCATCACTCTGCTAAACAAATAATTCCGTCAACACTGTCAAACTATCACTAAGTCTATTCACTAAGTCTGCATTACTATTACTATTAATCTTCTCAGCATTCCTATCACCCATCTCCTCCCACTTATGACTGTAATTTTGTTGCTTGTATCCTTACGATTTAGATTGATATTGTTTCCTATATGATTTGATTGCTTATTGTACCCTATGACTATCACTAAGTGTGGTACTTTATGATTCTTAACGAATGTATCTGTCCTTTTATGTACACTGAGAGCATATGCACCAAAGACAAATTCCTTGTGTGTCTAATCACACTTGGCCAATAAAGAATTCAATTCAATTCAATTCAATTCTAATTCTATTCTATTCTATTCTTTTTTTTCAATTCAATTCAAACCTTTATTGTCAATGCACAATATGTGTACAATGAGATTGGATAAGCCTCCCTTAGTGCAACCTCCCAAATACAAAATGCATCTCAATAACTCATAAGTGAAAGAAAAGAAAAAAAAACCCATAACCCAATAGATCTTACTAACAAACACACAATCCTATATACCTATACGTGCATAACATTACACTATATTATGTTGCACCACTGTAGACATGTTACATATTGTTCTGGCCCTGCAAGTCTATCATACTAAATGGTTATGGTGTTCTATTCTATTCTATTCTATTCTATTCTATTCTATTCTATTCTATTCTATTCTATTCTATTCTATTATCCTATCCTATCCTATCCTATCCTATCCTATCCTATCCTATCCTATCCTATCCATCCTTTCGAGGTAGGTAAAATGAGGACCCGGATTGTGGGGGCAATAAGCTGACTTTGTATAAAAAAGAACACCGCTTTGGGGGGGGGGGCGAAAGCCCTACTAAGCAGGTATATACAAAAGTATGAAGGCTATTGCTTAAAGCATTGTAAGCCGCCCTGAGTCTCCGGAGAAGGGTGTCATATAAATTAAATAATAATAATAATAAATTGAACCAATAATAAATTGAACCAATAAATTATAATGTTCTATTCTATTCTATTCTATTCTATTCTATTCTATTCTATTCTATTCTATTCTATTCTATTCTATTCTATTCTATTCTAGGCTAGGCTAGGCTAGGCTAGGCTAGGCTAGCTAGGCTAGGCTAGGCTAGGCTATCCTGTTAGGTGCATTATCAATAACGTTTGGAAACCACTGTATATTGGGCTGCAGCGTCCACCATCCTGAAGTGGCCGGAGCTAAGGGGAGTCGAGGTTATTGCGAAATGATTGCGAGGTTATTGCTGAGCTTCATAGGCTCGATCCAAACCCATTTCAGGGAAAAGCCGGGACTCAACATTGCACACACGGCAACGTTTGAGCAAAATAAATAACTAAATAAATCAGGCGCAGGGGGCCCGGCCCTCAATGGGGACCCAGTTCTTTTTCTCTCTCTCTCTCCCCCACAGGGGATTCGGCTTGAGGGACAAACTGAGGCTCCGAGAGCTTCTGCAGGTCTGCGTCTTTCGGAAAAAAAGAGTCGCGCGCAGATTTCACTCCGGCTAAAGTTGGCGTACCTCGCAGCTCATCGATGCGCCGACCCTGGGGAGGCCCCGAAACAGATCGCCCTTTCTCCGCTAGCCACTATTTTGTTTTTTTTTGCGACGGGCCCAGGAGGAGTTGCGGCTCCAAAGGGCACAGCGCTCACCACCGCTTTCTATAGCCCAATCGCTTCGCACATCACCACCACCCCCAAACAGCTCCACCTTTCCTGGGTTGGCTCTCCAGAGCGGGTGGGTGTGTGCAAGGCTTCCAACGGGAGTCGGTTCTAGTTTGAAAACAAGTCGGGTACCTTTAGAAAAATGTAGATATTTAGAATTAATTAGAAATTAACTAAATGTTAGTTATTGGAAAATTTTATTAACTTATTTTTTTTGGGGGGGAGGAGGCGGTTTGCAAAACTTAGCACCTTTAAAATGCATCTTTCGCGCGCCCGCGGGCTTGCATTGAACTCAAGACTTCTGAACTTTTTTTTTTTCTTCCCCTCTCGTAATTTGCCCTGTAAAATAATCTGGGAGAATCGGTTCTTGTAAAACGGGTCGATCGATTCACAAGCATAAAGCGATTCATTAAAGCTGCTTTTTGGCCCAGGCCTGCGAGTTACAGCAATCCATGGGACTACAATTCCTACAATCCTTCGCGTACGCAAGGGCCCGTGTTTGCAAGGAAGCCTGGGAATTGTAGTTCCAGCGCACATAGAGGGCGCTAAGCATTCGGAAGGCGGTTTTAGTTTCGCTGGGTGCCTTGAGCTACCGTACCCGTCGCCTCCCAACAGTCACAACCAAATTGATGGGAAAGCTGGGCCAGGCATGCCTAGGGATTTACCCGGATAGGGATTAATTAAATGAGCCATTCACTAAAATGCAACATAAAAAACAACAACAACTCCATTCTCATTATTTCTCTCTGCAGAGAAATCACAAGACCTTAAAACAGCTGATATTTCAGCCCATTTTATGGAAGGAAAGATAAGCCCCGACCCAATTCAGAGTCGCAAGGAAGGCGGAGTTTCGTCCCAAAATTGCTCAAGTACAGCAGCCTTTGGAAACTGCGTTGCTCCTGATTCTCCTAATTCCTCTGAATTTTTCTACACACCTTAAATCGGTGTGTAGAAAAATCTCCCGTGACGGGGGAATTCTGGGAATTGAAATCCACACTGGTTAAAGTGGCTAAGGTTGAGAAACCTTAAACCTGGTTTAAGTTAAAGAGTGAAGGGAAAGGGAACACGCGTGAAAGTCTGCCAGCTAGCTAAAAGCATTTGGTTTCCTTCCTTCCTTCCTGGTAAGAGAAGCTAGAAAAGTCACAGCTGGTGGCAGTATCTGTCTGAATTTTTCTAGGGCCAAAACTAGGCAAGGATCTTAGTCTAGTCAACAGGTCCCAGAGAATCCAAATTTATAGCTAGATGAAATTTTTTAAAATGTTTTTAATGAAGACAATGGCACACCTCTTCTGTATTGTTGCCAAAAAGAAAACTTGTCTGGATATTGCCATATATTCTCCAGGAGAGCAGTTCAACTCAAGGCTATTTTTATCTTCAGTACTAAGAAAAGTTTTTTTTTATCTTGCACAACATCTTTTTTTTTTTTTTTAGATTTGCAACTTTTCGGCAACAAAGAGCTCTTCTGAAACTAAAATGCAAATCTTAAACTTGTTTTGGAAGAAATATCCACCTGGTTCAGTTCCAAGTGGGGAGAAAGAAACATGAAGGCTGTTTGAAAAGAGGGTTTATTGATGAAGAGGACCACATGGGTTTGAGGTCCTGGTGCAGCTGAACATCTGGAGTGGAGAGAGAGGATTATTTATACCCTTTCTTAGGCCTTGCCCTTGAGCTTTCTGTTCCTGTGGCAAGAGCATGTATTCTATTAGTTGCTGTAGGCAGACTCCCATGTGGCCATGTGGAGTCATGTTTGTCTGAATCAAGTTTGATTGAACTTTGGGCTGATGCAATGAACCCTCAGGAAATTTTGCAATGCAGTCAGCCCTGCTGCTAGATAATCCTATAATGTCCTGGAAGGCCATGTCTTAATCCCATCACCCTGGAGCTGGAGGTCATTTGTCTTGTAGATAGGCTGGCTCAGTCTTTCTTAACGTGCACCAAAATATCTGCTGAGAGCAGGGAGCTGGGTTTCTGGGATTCTGTTTCCTTTAAGATTTTTATTTCTCTTTTAGGAGAAATATCCTGCCTTTTTAAATATTTCTTAAAATATTTCATTCTTCCAGGAGAAGGGTGGGTGCTAATTTTCTTCGCTTGGTAAAAAGAATATATCTACTCAGTTCAAAACTCTTATCAAAACATATGTTAAATGATTTATAAACATGTACACCAAGGCACTTTATGAAAAATTGAATATTTTGCCATTTATTTCACAAAAGCATTAGGAAGGAGAACTGCATGTATAACCATTTATTAGCATAGTGAATAACAATATTTCAATGCAAATATCTGAAGTTCCATTTATCCAGAATTACACTGTTTGAAAAATGCAAATTGACATTTTACTCTCTGATATCAGAGCAAAATGTATACTCAGTTTAAAGGGAGGAAGATAAATGTATATTTTCTTATGACTATGCTTTTCCAGTCAGTTTTTTCATATGCCTTGGTTTTACTTTCAGGAAAGTGAAGATTGTTACAGTGAGAATAGGTTTACATCAATGGTGGGTTTCAAAAAATTTTACTACAGGTTCTGTGGGTGTGGCTTGGTGGGCGTGGCGTGGCTTGGTGAGCATGGCAGGGGAAGGATACTGTAAAATCTCCATTCCCTCCCCAATCCAGGGGAAAGTTACTGCAAAATTCCCATTTCTTCCCAATCATCTGGGACTTGGGAGGCAGAGAATAGATGGGGACGGGGCCAGTCAGAGGTGGTATTTACCGGTTCTCCGAACTACTCAAAATTTCCGCTACCGGTTCTCCAGAACTGGTCAGAACCTGCTGAAACCCACCTCTGGTTTACATATTTCAAAATAAATTCAAATAAATTCAGTGGAAACTTTTTTTCTGAATATGCCAAGGGTCAAGTTCCTGCTCTTTGGTTGAGAAATCAAATGGGAACATAGAGTTTGCTGGGGGGGAGGGTTTTTTTTTTTTTTTTAGTAAATCATCTCATCCCAAGTTTTAGCCCTGAAATATATTGGGATTGCTTGCACAATTATTCTAGAAGATTTATTCATGTATAAAATTTATATGGTTCAAAAAGGGACTCTGTGCTGTGACTTAAAAAAAACAATAATAAATAAAAACAACATGATTAAAAATATTAAAAAGGACAAGGCACAAGAGAAGATAAATATTAGCCACAGTAAAGGAGCCACCTCAAAATCTACCTCAGAGGTCTTCAAACTTGGCAGCTTTAAGACTTGTGGACATCTTAGCCTATGCCGGCTGGAGAATTCTGGTAGTTGACGTCCACAAGTCTTAAAGCTGCCAAGTTTGAAGACCTCGGATCTCACTGGTCCCCTGTGATTTACCAGGCCTAATGACCTATCCAAGTCTTGAGAGATTTCGGGAACATTATCAGGGATAGAGTTGAACTCATGCCTGTAAGGAAAAGATTCCATAAGGCAGGTGCCATAGCGAAGAAAACCTCCTGGAACCCAACTAGTTTCCTAACAGATGGGACCCAGCGCACCCTTCTTTGCCAAATTTGATGGGGCAGGCAATTGGGGAAAGCCAGTCCCCACCATACCATGAAATGCTGTAAAGGTGAAAACCAGCACTTTGAATTGGACCCAGAAGCAAACTGACAAGCAATGCAGCTTGTGGATCTATAAGGTGTAATGTGTCAGTCTAGAGGTGCACATAACTGCCAGTACTGCTACATTTGGCACCAAGTGAAGTTTCTGGATGCTATTCATGGGAGGCTTCGTATAGAGAACATTACAATAATCCACTTGGGAGGTGACTAGGGTATGAATGACAATGAGCAGAGCCCCCTGATCCAGGAACAGACACAACTGGCACACAATGCTAAACTTTGCAATATTGCAATATGTTGCTTAAAGTAAAATTAGGCTGATAAGCCCTTCTTTCAAACAACACCTGCATGTTCTTTCATAAGCACCCTTTGGGCTGCTGAAATGAAGACTACTTAGAATAATGAATACTGCTTGGAATTTAAAGTAAAGTCCAGGAGAAGTGTGAAAGGATTTTAACTCAGTTCTAGCACTGGGGGAAAAAATCCTAAATTCAGAACAGGATCAAATGCACATTCTTTAATTCTAAGTGTATCTCCGAGTTGAGAATCTTTTGTTGGTTCTGTGCTGAATCTAAAAATTTAAGACAAAGCAAACAAATTAGTTCCACTAACCAAGTCTGTTACCCCTATTGTAGCACAGAAATTACTGCAACGTAGAGAGAGTATGGATTTAAAAATTCCACTAATAGCCATAGGCCTTATTTCCTGATGGTTCTGTCCTCACTCTTTTCACAGCTATCTCAAATATGTTGGTGCAAAAGAATGGGTTGAAAAGAATAACACTGGTGAGAGGAAAGGAGGTGGAAACCAAAGAAAGACAAAGTGAATAGAATGTGGTAAAAAAAGATGACACATGTAAATGGATAGAGCTTCAACCACACTGTAATGGTTACCATCTTACCTTCTACCATACCCTATGGGGCATCCAGGATGGCATTTGGGTGATGGAAGTATATGGCTTGACTGATCTATTACTGGCATGTGAACTCTGAAAGTTACTGAGATAAAAAAAAATATCTCCATAATTTTAATTTATCAGTAACGCTAAAAGCACATATCACACTTTCATCTCAGTTTTGCTCACTTTTCTTATTTATCCATAAGCCATGTAGTTTGTGATATATTTCATTACTCTGAATCTTGAAAGTGAGACTACAGGAGTCTGAAGTTGAAAGCACGACAAATATGTGAAATGTGTGTATGGAAGGGAATGAGGACAATAAGTGCATTTTATTGACTAATGCCCAGTCTGGATCATTAAAATTGCTTTTGTTGCAGCTAGACTATAGTCCTGTCTGCTCCTGTTTATATGTCTGCCCCTTGCCCTGCTTTTGCCAATTCCCATCACTTTCACAATGCAGGGATTGTTAGGCTATTCATCCACTATGACATTTACTGAAATATTGATTTCTTACTAAAGCTCCGGTGTGATACACATTTTATGCACTGTCCAGATTTTGATTTGTTTATCTACAGG